TTTTGAGCTCCAGGGAAGGCAATTTAAAATGTCTGTATAAGGGCAGGCACACCTGTGTTCTGGATTCCTCCTCCTTTCCTGCGTGTGAGGGGAGCACCCTGTTGCAACAGTCAATAAAGATCAGGCTTACTAGCTGCTTTGCTTCTCAATATTCTCTGGTTGGCCTCTGTTATTTTCTCCTACTGATGGAGAACCTACAAAGAATTCTATAAGGGCTCTTGTGTCCCCCATAAGGGAATAAGGGCATGACAGATGTCCCAGGTTCAGTCCTCAGCCTTGCCAGACAGAGGTGGGAAGAGACACCTTCCCTGCAATGCTGGAGAGCCATGGCTGCCAGCCAGTGTCGACAGTCCTGGGCTAGAAGGCAGCATCCTCTGGGGACTCAGCCTCCCCTCCCTTGGCTCTTCTCTCCCGTCTGCATGGCCTCTTCTGACCCACTGCAAAAAACACTTAGAATGGACTTCTCCCAGCTGGGTCTCCTCCAGATGTTTTGACCTACCAACCTTATTCCAGCTGACCTGGCTGGACCTGATAGGTGCTGGAGACCGAAACATCTGGTGTGGGGAGAAGCCAGCCTGCGTTGGGATTTTTCTTAGGTCCATTGTAAAGTGAGGCCAAAGTCACCTGCTCCAGAATGCAACCTCTGGATCTCAAGACTTGTAAGAACCAGCTCAAGATCCAGAGGAGCCTGACAGCTGACGGCTGAAAAGGCAACTCTGGCTGAAAAGGCAACTCCGGATAAGATGCAAGGAGGGTTCTGAGACACGTTGGAAAAGGGGGCTGAGTAAGTTGTGTTTCATGGACTGTGGCTGGATGAGAGGTGGTGCAGTATTGGGGTGGCAGAAGATGGTTAGGTAAAAGGAGCAGCTGGGAGAATGGATACTTTGCCTATACAGTCTGTGTCCTAATGGAAATGCTTTATCCAATTCCTTGGACTTCCTCCCATAATGCATTGCTGAATAAAGTCTGACCAATTGGCAATTAGGTGGGAGCCTCCGTTCCTGAACCCCCCATGGAATTTCCTTCCCGGAACTCTCTTGCAAGTGCCTCTCCAGATGTTCTCTTTGACTTCTCTTTCCTGCATGCAGCCGATTTTGTTTTAAATGCCTTGCCTCTCAGCTAATATGTGGTCTCTTTCCCACCCCAATCTCCCCACCTCCTCCTCTCCCTCTCTCTCTTTCTCTCTCTTAATAAACAGAGCCTTCAGCTAAAGTCCTGCTTATTTCCCTTCCTGCAAAGCACCTAGGGGCACTTTTTGTTCATTTCCTCTAAGCAACATGATTATTTTGTTCCCTTAGGCTGGTGCCATAATTTGCAGCACTTTACGTAAAAGGCAGTAGTACCATCTAGTGGCCACATGCAGAAGGCATTGTCACACACAAAAATGCAGGAATTTGGATTTCCACTCACTACATGAACCTGGGCTAATCAGACACTCTCTAACCTACCTGGCAGGCTTATTGGGGGGGGGGGATAAAATGGATGATTCAAGTAACTTACTGGAGGCAGGGAGGAACAAAAATGTAGTTTTTGTTAGGATGTAGTTCTGTTCCACCTTAAAAGGGTACAGGCATGACTATTGTGTGTCACATGCCTGTTTACTTCCAGCACAGTCTGCTGGGAACTTCCGTTTGTATATTGCTTTTGCATTTAGCTGTTTTTGCTGGAGATGAAGGGAAGCAGGCATGTTTTTTTCTTTGTTCCTGCTGCTGAATAAAATGCTGTAATATACTGCTTACACATGGCTCTGTCCGCCTCTTCTGCTGTGAGATTTATTCACTCTGCTGACAGAGCGTGCACGGGTCTCTAAGCGTATCTGAGGCTCGTGTCGCTGATTAATGCTGGGGAGAGCAGTGATCGTCCGGCTGCCGGCCGGTGGCTGGAGCCAGCTGGGGGCTTGCCTGATGCCCCCGTCTCCCCGGCAGTATCCCAACAGTTTTAACAAACGTTGTGGCTGACTAGTAAAGCACTGCAACCAGCATAATCCAAAAGGTTGCTCTGTGACACAGAATGAATGGGCAGGTCTTCCCCTCCGCTCTGCAGCTGCTAGATAGGAGAACAAAAGCAAAAGTGGGAGAGGGCTGAAGTGGAAGCTGGAGACCCACAGACCTGCTTGCTCTGTGCTGGATCCAAAACTGACTAATATCTGTTGGGGTGTGGATCCTGTGAGCTCCTTCCTCTTATGCTCAGGTTGTATACATGTGTAAATAAAACTGTGCAATATTTAAAATGCAGTCAAACCAACCATTCGTGGTTTGCTAGACAGGCACATGATAGGAGTTGAAGCACACACAGTTTTCCTGCAAGTTTGCAAGAGGGAACTATGTGAGAGAGACTCCCACTGTGTCCTGACAGGCAGAGGGCATAGCTGTAGATCTTCTCCTACCTTCCTGGGCACACACACTCTCGCTCTCTTTCCATGCTGCCAGCAACGTGAGAACATCAAGTCTGAGCTCCATGCTCTGCCTACATTTTAAGCTAGACTTAGGTGTGCCTTTGTAACCGAACGACCATTTGAAGCCTGCCTGAGCAAAGATGCTGAATTTGTTGCTCTTCAGCAAGTATTCCAAGCGAGCAAATGCTCTTTTTACCTTTTACAAGACTGTTTGTGTGAATATTGTTGAAAAGGGGGAAATATCAGGAGCATCCTGGATTACTTAAACTAAAAGGCTAAAAGTAGCCTATCTAAGCTTCCCTTTTAAGCTGCAAAGGGATGCAACTCTGCTGAACTCACAAAGGTGAAGAAGGATGGATGATATCTAATAAATATATTCTCTCCTAGCATCTATTCACATCCCAACAAAAACCATGTATCCTGAAGACACCCCCATCTCTGCTGACCTTTATTGCAAGGAAACCCAACCTGGGCATGTGCCTGGAACCCCTGAGGTCTCTCGCCTCTAAGAGATTGGCATTTAACATTACCCTCTCATGGCTCAGGATGTTTCTACCTGGAGGGAGGAAAGGATTCCAAGAAGCATGATTACAATAAAAAAAGGTTATTTATTGTTGCAAATGATTAAAAAGCAAGAGCATTGCCAAACGAGGCTTGGTTCATGCTGAAAGGTTAAAACATCCCATCACCTCCCATGGACCCATCCAGGTCATGGGCTGAGAGGGAACCACCAAGGGGTCTGACTCCTGCCCCATAAGCTCCCAGGCTGGCCCAGCAGTGGGGAAAGGCCAAAGGGCTCCCACCAAGAAAGGTTAAAACATCCCATCACCTCCCATGGACCCATCCAGGTCATGGGCTGAGAGGGAACCACCAAGGGGTCTGACTCCTGCCCCGTAAGCTCCCAGGCTGGCCCAGCAGTGGGGAAAGGCCAAAGGGCTCCCACCAAGAGGCAGCTAAAGGACAAGGAGGCCGGGAGACCTTTGCTCAAGAGGCCCAGGCAGTGAGTGGAAGATGGAGTGAAGAGGAGATGGGAGCCTGCTCAGGGCTCCTTAGAGGGACAGGAAAGGAAGGAAAGGCTCCGCTGCCTCCTTGGCCTGGGCTGCCCCCCCCCAAAAAAAAATCTGTGCTTAGAGAGGAGAGGAAGGGGAGGTGGGGAAAGGGCTCCGTGGCTTCAGTGGGGACAGTGGAGAGTGACCTGGTGGGGACATGGGCACCAGACTCTGCTGCAGAGACGCAGTGGCTGGCCTGGGGGCACCATGGGGGTGGGGGTGGCAGCTAGAGGTGGGGGCCTGTTGCCCAGGGAGTCTGGAGCACCAGGAACAGATGGCAGTGGGAAGGGTGACAAAGGAGGCAAGATTGGGGCCAGGGGAGGGAGCGCTTTCAAAAGCCTGGGGGGATGCTGGGAGGTGGGCGACCCAGGGCTCCCAGGTTGGGATGGAGGTCCTGGAAGCTGGGGTGGGGAGCCGGAGGGCAAGAGAGGAGGGGGAGGAAGCCTGAGAGCCTGATCCCCAGCCCTGCTGGGGGCCATGCAGGATTTTAAAGGGGGCAGAGGGCCAAGGGGTGGAGTTTGGCGCGGGGTCTGCAGCTGGGCCCGGGGAGGCGACGATGAGGGGCTCCCAGGTTGGGTCGTGGGCTTCGGAGCCAGAGAAGCAGCAGAGGACGGTGCCTCAACGCCGTCAGGATCAGGCCCTGCCAGGGAAGGTGGGCGAGGACGCAAGTGGGGTGCTTTGACAGGCGGGGGCAGGAAGCTCTCTGGCTCGGATGGCTGTGGCAGAGGCTTCCATTGCGGAAGGAAACCTCTGTGGCCCAGAAGCGGGCTGGAGGACGATTCTGATGCCCAGGGGAGATGCAGGAGTGCCCTGCCATGGGAGAGAGTGGAGTGAGACTGGCCCTGACCTGGCATGGGCCCAGGGAAAGTCCTGGGCATGGTATGGGGTCTGGGGCCACGGGTTCGGAAAGGTCTGGGGGGCTGGCGCATAAGGTGGGGGTGGGAAGTGCCCTTGGGGCCCCGGCGGGGCATGGAAGGAATCCAGAGGCACGAAAGGCTGTGAGATGAACGGCATGGCTTGGGCAGGGGGCTGCTGGAAGGGAGTGGAGGAAGGGGGAGACTGAGCCTGCTGCATGAGGGGGTCCCAGGAGGCAGGAGGGGACTGCGAATGGGGAGACATGGCGTTGGAGACAGGGGCCCAGGAAGGCTCACCAAGCAGCGGCAGCTGGTACACAGGATCTGGCCAGGGGAAGCGTGGCCCCTGCTGGAACGGGGCTGGAGGAAGGGGGTATGGGAAGGAGTGTGGAGAAGGAAGCAGCACTGGGAGCCCATGGGTGGGGCACAGCAAGAGCGGGGGGCCAATTAGGTTCCCCCAGGAAGCCCTTGGAACACCAGGGTTGCGAGTGTCTTCCTCCGCCAACACAAGCTCCTCTTCCTCTAGCAAAACTCCTGCATCGCTCCCAGATGCTGAGGAGCTAAGGGGGATTGCAGAACGTGGCCTCCTCTCCAGCCCAGCACCCAGTAGATTGTGTCCGGAGCTTCTTGATGGTCTGGGGTGCAGCTTAAGTCTGGAGCTGCTGGTCGAGGGTCCAGGGTAGGGGTCAGGTGTGGAGTTCCTCAAGGTCCCAAGGAATGGATCTTGTCCAGGACTGCTGGTTGAGGGTCCAGGGTAGGGGTCAGGTGTGGAGTTCCTTGAGGTCCCAGGGCACGGATCTTGTCCAGAACTGCTGGTGGAGGGTCCAGGGTGGGGGTCAGGTGTGGAGTTCCTCGAGGTCCCAAGGAATGGATCTTGTCCAGGACTGCTGGTCGAGGGTCCAGGGCTGGGGTCAGGTGTGGAGTTCCTTGAGGTCCCAAGGCATGGATCTTGTCCAGGACTGCTGGTCGAGGGTCCAGGGCTGGGGTCAGGTGTGGAGTTCCTCGAGGTCCCAAGGAATGGATCTTGTCCAGGACTGCTGGTCGAGCTTCCAGGGTGGGGGTCAGGTCTCGCAGGGCACGGATCTTGTCCAGAACTGCTGGTCGAGGGTCCAGGGTGGGGGTCAGGTCTCGAGTTCCTGGAGGTCCCAGGGCACGGATCTTGTCCAGAACTGCTGGTCGAGGGTCCAGGGTGGGAGTCAGGTCTCGAGTTCCCGGAAGTCCCAGGGCATGGATCTTGTCCAGAACTGCTGGTCGAGCTTCCAGGGTGGGGGTTAGGTTTGAATCTCCTTACAAATCGAGGGGGCAGCTCATATCTGGTGGTTCTTGAAGGACCAGGACACAATTTGTATCCAGAGCTCCTCCCCAAGCGCCCAGAGGGGCAGGGGCTTTTGGGGGGCCTAGGGCACAGAGGTGGTTCTGCAGAGTCAGGGGTATCAAGGGCTCTTCGCTCAGGGGTGCTTTTGGTCTCTGAGTAAGAGTCCTGTCCTGAGAAAGAGAGAGAGGGAGGGGGTTAGCAGCTTCCGACAAGGCAAGTGACTCCGTAAGTCAGCTGTGCACCCACAAGTTTCAACCAACCCCCCCCCCGCACCATCACAACTGGTCCTACATGCTTGATGCTCCCTGGTGCCTCCAGCCCTAAGGTCACCCTGTCCCAACCTCCAAGTTTTTAACATCTAGACCAGGGGTGGAGAACATCTGCAGCCCTCCAGATATTGTGGGAATCCCAACTCTTTCAGTTCCAGCCAGCGTGGTCAGTGGTCATGGGTGACGAGGGAAATTGCCTGAAGTCCCTCAGGCTCCCCAAGGCCTGGTCTCCAAGGAGGCAGGGGTCCCTCTGACTAGCTCCTCTTTTAGAAGAGCCCGTCCACTCCCCATTCCAAACATTTCAGCTGCCAGGTGGTCATGGGATGACAAGCTCCCCTATCTTCTCTCCTAGGATGATGGGCTCACCTTGTCCAGAAGACCCAGGGAGGGCTCCTCCCTCTTCCGGGAGGGTGGCAGGCTTTCTTTGAGAGAACAGGTGGACCAAGTTGGCAACCTGTTCTTGAGAAAGGATACCCGCATCGACAAGATGTTGTGCCACCTCTGGGACAATAGCTCACCTTGACCAGAAGGCCCAGGACGGACATGTTGTGCTTCCTCTCCCTCTTCTGGGACAACTGGCTCTCCTTGACCAGAAGGCCCTGGATGGACAAGTTCTGCTTCCTCTCCCTCCTCTGGGACAAAAGGCTCTCCTTGACCAGAAGGCCCTGGATGGACAAGTTCTGCTTCCTCTCCCTCTTCTGGGACAACAAGCTCTCCTTGACCAGAAGGCCCTGGATGGACAAGTTCTGCTTCCTCTCCCTCCTCTGGGACAACAGGCTCTGCTTGACCAGAAGGCCCTGGATGGACATGTTCTGCTTCCTCTCCCTCCTCTGGGACAAAAGGCTCTCCTTGACCAGAAGGCCCTGGATGGACATGTTCTGCTTCCTCTCCCTCTTCTGGGACAACAAGCTCTCCTTGACCAGAAGGCCCTGGATGGACAAGTTCTGCTTCCTCTCCCTCCCCTGGGACAAAAGGCTCTCCTTGACCAGAAGGCCCTGGATGGACATGTTCTGCTTCCTCTCCCTCCTCTGGGACAACAAGCTCTCCTTGACCAGAAGGCCCTGGGTGGACAAGTTCTGCTTCCTCTCCCTCTTCTGGGACAACAAGCTCTCCTTGACCAGAAGGCCCTGGATGGACAAGTTCTGCTTCCTCTCCCTCCTCTGGGACAACAGGCTCTCCTTGACCAGAAGGCCCTGGATGGACATGTTCTGCTTCCTCTACCTCCTCGGGGACAAAGGCTCTCCTTGACCAGAAGGCCCTGGATGGACATGTTCTGCTTCCTCTCCCTCCTCTGGGACAAAAGGCTCTCCTTGACCAGAAGGCCCTGGATGGACATGTTCTGCTTCCTCTCCCTCCTCTGGGACAACAGGCTCTGCTTGACCAGAAGGCCCAGGAAGGATGAGTTCTGCTCTCTCTCCCTCCTCTGGGACAACTGGCTCACCTTGATCAAAATGCCCAGGATGGACAAGTTGTGCTTCCTCTGGAGCAACAGGTTCTTCTTGACCAGAAGGCCCAGGGATGACAAGCTCTTCTTTCTCCCCCTCCTTTGGGATGGCAAGTGCTCCTTGACCAGAAGGCCCCAGAAGGACAAACACATCTTCAGCCCAACCCAGGTCAGGTGCAGTGGGGGCATTTGCTGTTGGCACCAGTTCCTGCTTACATCGCCGCAATTGAAAGGCTGCTGTGGAGACATCATATCCCAGGATGTCATGCAGTTCCCAGTAGGAAGGGGAGCACTCGATTCCTCCCCGGAGCACGTCAGCCATGTAGCGCCACAGGAGGGCATCCACCTTGCTGTGACACTGCTCTGCAGAGCGCCAGACTCCTGCCTGCCTGAGAGCCGTGGACATCATAGAAGGGCTGGGGATGTGGTCTGGTGTCTGGGAGGAGAGACTCCTCCATGTCCTCAGGAGAATCTTCTCTTCCTTCTCGGTCCATTCTACAAAACAGTCACAGAACCATAGAATTGTAGAGTTGGGAGGTACCCAGAGTGGGATAATCTGCAGTCAAAATGAACATTACTTTTGCTAAATAAGCATATGGAGGGGTTAAGACACTTTGAGTTCCTCCATTCCTAAACAAGGCAAGTCTATGTGGTGTTATATCGTCTTGTGGTAGGATGTAGGGCAAAGGATTTCAATCTTTTCTCCTTCCTTCTTGCCCCAGTCTCTCTCTTCCTTTCAAGTAAGCAATGTGAGCAGATGTAATCACAGAATCATAGAGTTGGAAGGGACCTCAAGGGTCATCTAGTCCAACCCTCTGCAAGGCAGGAATCTCAGCCCAAGCAGCCATGACAGATGGCCATCCAAGCTCTGCTTAAAAACCTCCAATGGAGGAGAATCCACAACCTCCCAAGGGAGACCATTCCAACTGTCAAATAGCTCATACTGTCAGAAAGTTCTTCCTGGAGCTATTGGTTTGAATCCTACCCTCCAGAACAGGAGAAAACAAACTTGCTCCATCTTCCATGTGACAGCCCTTGATATATTTGAAGATGGCTCTTATACCTCCTCTCAATATCCTCTTTTGCAGGCTAAACTTCTCCAGCTCCTTCAACCGTTCCTCATAAGACTTGGTTTCCAGACCCTTGACCATCTTGGTCTCCCTCCTCTGCACACCTTCCAGCTTGTCAACATCCTTCTTAAATTGTGGTGCCCAGTATTGGGCACAGGACTCCAGGTGTGGTCTGACCAAGGCAGAATACTATTACTTCCCTTGATCAGGAAACTAGACTTCTGTTGATGCAGCCTAGAATAGCATTAGCTTTTTTTGCTGCGGCATCACACTGTGAACTCATGTTAAGCTTGTAGTCCACTAAGACCCCTAGATCCTTTTCACATCTATTCCTAATAAATCAGGTTTTCCCCATCATATATTTGTGCATCTGGTTCTTCCTGCCTATGTGAAGGACCTTACATTCGTCCCTGTTAAAATTCATTGTTAGCTTGCACCCTGTTCTCCAATCTGTTAAGGTCATGCTCAAAGGCCAGGCTCCATTTTGGAAACTAGTTTTGTATTTTGTAACTGAAAACTATTTTACCTGCATACTACATTGATATATTTGCTGTCTGCATTAAAATGTAAGTAAACATTTATGTTTTTACTAAAACGTAAGGTTCATTCTTAGCAACAGGGACAGAGGAGAAAAAGATCAGCAGAACACAAATAAACAGGGATAAAAGGTGCAATTGCCTAATTCCTAGCTTCCAGTAAGCTGCAAAAGCACGTAAGTGTGTTTACTCTGCTAAAAAGCCCTTCATATTTTTCCCACACACATGGGGTAGAATGCTTAAATTTTGATTTACAGACTTAATCCTCAATCCATCTCCATCAAGTCCAAACCCCGGAAATGCAGGAATCACAGCTAAAGCATCTTTGACAGGCAACCGTCATGTCCTTTTTCTCCTACAGCATCCTTCTGCACCCCGTGTCAAGGAGAACCATCTGACCCCAGTGGCTCCTTGGTCCCTCCAGCCTTCCCAAAAGGACTTTTTGCATGAAAGAGAAAATGAACTTGTAATATCTGGATTTGAAGATTGAAAAAAAATACTGCTTTAGAGAAGATAGAATGGTTGGAGCTTAAAGAATGAATATCATCTGTAGCTGCAAAGAGCCGGGAGTCCTTTTATTCTACTCTATTTTTCTTCCGTTTTTTTCTTTCTTTCCTTTTCTCTTGCTTGCTCCTTCTTTAGATTTCTCCTTTTCTTGCATTTTCTTCCTCCAGACTTGGCTCTTTTCTAGATTAAGTGTCTGTTTTATCTCAGCATATTATAAAAAGAGACTTTGTAATGGATATGCATTTCTGTATATCTTTGAATTTATCTATCAATAAATGTTAAGACAAAAAAACCCCTCAAGTTCAAGAGTACCACCCACCTAAAGGAGTATACAGGAGGTCCGGTTTGAGATGGCAAGCAGGGAAGGTGTCCAGGAACTGCTGCAAAGTTGTGCCTTTGACCATTCCTCCTCTCTCCCTGAGGATCTCCCACCTGCAGAACCAGGTCATCTGCAAAGGAGAGACCCAGACAGACCCCCCGGCTCTCAGATTCTTGCCCAGTTCAACTTCCGGAGCAACCTTGCATCCGCTGAACCAAATCTGCCCCTCCTCCAATTCTGCAAACTGAGGCACCCGCCTCACCTTGGCCCATTATAGTGCCGGCCCGGTTAACGAAGAAGTCGCGTCCATGGATTACTGATTAAGTCCGTCCGTCAGGGAGATTGAGAAATCCCTTAGCAATTTCCACCTGAGATACCCACCTCCCCACTTCCTCTATCTGACCAGCGTGGCCTGGCTTCCAATTGGCAGGACTGGGCCAGCTGGTTGTCTGAACCACTACGGGAAATAACCCCTTAAAAATGGCTCTACGGTCCTTGATCCCTCTTGGTCCTGCAACTGATGCCTGAACCAGAATCTGAAGCCCTGATTTAGGTAGCTGGGTGTTCCTCCCAGCTGCATTATGGCATCTGCTACCCTCAGTTTCCCCGAGAGATGGGTTGCCTACCTTGAGGCTGGGCTCCTGCAGGTTGTCCCCATAGAGGGCTGAGATGGGGAGAAAGAGCACCTTCCTGGGGTCCCTGTCCCACGCCCAGAGCCAGTCCCACACTTTCCCAACGATGTATTTGTAGCGGTCGCAGCTGTAAGGCTCCGGCGTGGAAGAGTCCATCTTGTTGACACACACCACGAGCTGCTTCACCGGGAGTTTGCTGGCCAGCAGGATCTGCTTCTGGGTCATGTGCCAACGCATTTCAAAGTCCCTCTTCTCTGCAGAGATCACAAACAGCAGGCAGTCAACCTGAGGGAGGGAGAGGAGGAAAGAAAAGGCCGTCAAAACTCTCAGTCGCCTGGCCCTGACTTTCTGCCAGGGAAGGGTATTCCATAAGAACATCAGAAGATGGCTCTCTAGCCCAGCAGTCTCTACTCACAACGGCCAAGCAGAGGCCTCAATGGGAAACTTGCAAGCAGGGTTCAGGCAACAGAGCCCCCTCCCTTCATGGGGCTTTATTGTAGGGGCTGAAGCCCCCACAACCCCTTGGATGCAAGCGCATACAGTGGTACTTTGCATCTCAAATGCCTTGGTACTTAAACAACTTGGAACCCAAACACTGCAAACTCGGAAGTAAGTGTTCCAGCTTGCGAACTTTTTTCAGAAGCTGAACATGCTCTGTTTTGAGTGCCATGCTTCCATTTTGAGTGTTACTCTGAGGTCGGTCTGTTTTTGCTATTTTGCATTTTTGCAGTTCTTTTCGTTTTGTTTCTGTGACTGTGTGGAACCCAGTTCAGCTACTGATTGATTGTGTGACTGCAGTACATTGTTTATTGCTTTCATTTTATGGATCAATGGTCTCATTAGATAGTAAAATTCATGTTAAATTGCTGTCATTGCCTCCTGTGGGAACAGCCCTACTACATCAGAGGGTGTTGCGGGGGGGGGATGCATTTAGAACAGGGGTCCGCAAGGTTTACCTCGCCTGGGCCGGTTCACTCCAGCAGAGATCCCTCTGTGGGCTGGATCACACGCGCGCCTGCCATTTCCAGCATCTGCGCAGATGCAATTTCCGGCACCGCAGAAGAAAGTTCCCGCACCATACTGCGCCAGTTTAGCGCAGCGCACAGGGACTTGCCAAGTGGGCGACTCAGTTCAGGGGTGGCTCGTGGGCCTTGTAGGCTGCTTGGGGCCCGTGGACCTTAGGTTGCCTACCCCTGATTTAGAACAGGGGTTAGCAAACTTTTTCAGCAGGGGGCCGGTCCACTGTCCCTCAGACCTTGTGGGGGGCCGGACTATATTGGGGGGGGGGAATGAACGAATTCCTATGCCCCACAAATAACCCAGAGATGCCTTTTAAAGAAAAGCACACATTCTACTCATGTAAAAACATGCTGATTCCCAGACCGTCTGAAGGCCAGATTTAGAAGGCGATTGGGCCGGGACTTCCAGGTTAGCGCCATCAGTGAGTGGCGGAGTTCCTCCGTCCGGAGGAACTGGCTCCGTGGAAACTGGGTCTTCCCGCCGCGGCGAAGGTGGGGACCCGCTAGAAATCCCAGGCGGAGGAAGCCTGGGAACGTGGGGTTCGGCAGGGCACCAGGAGCGCCCCCCTACTCATGGGGAACCCCTTTTTGGGATTCCGGAGTGAAGTGGGGTGAGCAGCGCGGTGCTGCGAACTGACTGCTACTTTCACGGAGTGAAGCCGCATAGCCATTGCCGGAGAGCGCTGACTTTTTCCTGTGGACAATTGGATTTAAAACAAGTACCCGTGAGTAGAAACGGAAAATTGGATCAAGAAATATCTTAATTTGACATCGAAGTGGGAAGGTTCAAAACAGGAAGTCCGCCTTCCGCTTTTTGTATATAGACTAAAGCAAAAACCTTGTAAGCTAAAGCCTGGAAAGTTGTTTAAAAAGCCTAAATTTCCTTCATTTATAACTACTGAAACCCCCCTGGAAGCAGGCGAAAAGGGGGGGAACTTTGTGTAACGCCTGCAGGAGAGGGAGTGAAGAAAGATAAGTTTCCACCGTCTCTAACCTGGGAACGGGGTGTCAGAGACAGAAATTGTTGGAGAGGTTCATTGACTGTGAATGGAATACTTTGACAGATAGCTGAAGAAGAGAAATAAACTGATTCCAATGTTGCCTTTTGCATTCTAAAGAAACAAAATATCTGAAAAATGAAAGTAATTTTCCTTTGTTGGACTTGCCTTAAAAAGATGGATACAAATAGAAATTGTCTCCTCTAGAGGGAGCCTGCTAAATTGTTGCTGCAGTCTACTGGAGGATCCCACAGCTGTGAGATTAAGATTGTGGGATTAGTCCTTTTGACCTTGACTAAATATGAGCTGGAAGGAAGTTTTGGTGCTTGCTTTATGCAAGACAAGTGCTTTGTTAGAACAGATGCATGAGAAGATGGATTTGATGAATGAGAAAATGGATTTGATGACTGTTGTGGCCAATAACTGTGGACAAATAGTGAATAGTGATACAGAAACCATCCAGGATCCAACTCAGGAACCTGTATTGATGGGGCAAGTGCAGAAGATAATGGAGGAGGCTGCGGTTGCACCTCAAATAATACAAATGGAGAGGCCCAAGGCCCTACAGGAGCATAAGCCACTGTTTTTGAAGATTGAAGTTGGAGTGGGCCAGGGGGAGTCTGGAGCTGAGGAGGCTTTTAACTTTGGAGAGACTTCGAAATATGCTCGTAAATATTTTTTGGATTATATTGATGACTGTGGGGAGTGGGACTGTGGGGAATGGGCTGGTTTGATGAAGGGAGACGGAGATAACTTTGGGTTGGAACCCCCCAGAGACCTACTCCTCAATGAGAAAGGAAAGAAATTAAGAAAGAGACCAACAAAAGACAAGGAAAAGTGCAAGTATAAACAAGAAGAAGAAGATCTGCAGAAGGGACATGGAAGAGACTTAAGGGCCTCGGACATAAGACTTCCAGGTTGATGGACTAGATGGAATGGACAGTAAGGACTGACACGACCTGAGACCAGGAAAAAGAGACGTTGGATGAAGACTGGAAGAAAATTTATAAAGAAAAAATTTTTATTTAGGGAATTAGCCTAAAATTAATGAATATTAGGGAAAATGTTGGAATGAAACTATATGACTCTAGCAGAAATGATATCAGGAGTTATGTATAACTGAGTATTAAGTTTTAAGTTTTAAGGTATTTTATGGTAAGATAAGGTTAAATAAATTAAGGTAATTTGAATAACAGAATATGGGGAAAGATGGAAAGGATCCCTCGAGTTAATTAATAGGTTAAATTGTTAAGATAAATCATCTAATAAAAATTGAGAAAGATGGAAAGAATTTGCTGAAATAACTAACTAGACTAGAATACAAAAAGGGAGGTGTGAGGAGGTCAACGAAACAAGCAAATGGAAGTTAAAGATATGTAATATGGGATTTGTGTCTTTTTCCCCCCTCTTTTTTTTATTTTCTTTTTGCTGTATTGTTCTATTGGTTTTTATGTTTTGCGTTTTTTCTTCTTTTTATGTATTGCAGTGTTGTTTTTTATTTTTTATTTTTTTCTGTAATTCTGAAATTATTAATAAATATTATTTTTTAAAAAAAATAATAGAAGGCGATTGGGCCGCATCTGGCCCCCGGGCCTTAGGTTGCTGGCCCCTGATTGAGAAGGTCCAGGCCAAGGAAGAGCCCAAAGATTTGACAAGACGGTGGTGGCTGGTACCCATTGGAACTGGCAGGACAGAAGACAAGGAGGTGGACAGAAGGTGGTGCCAGAGCGAGCGGCTGGCAGAGCCAAGGAATTCTCGTTTTATGCCACCCCTCTTCTTCCCGCTGAGCTTTAAAAGGGCAAAACTGAGAGTGAGGAGGGGGGAGAATTTGACACCCAGCCCCTTCCCGCCCAACACATTTACTGCATGCGCAGGACACAACCTTTGGCATGAAACCTCTCTTGTCCCCTCAGCTGCTGAGGAGCAGAGACTCTCACCTTTTGCTGGCCTTGCAAGCAGCAGCTGCGGTACATCCCTACACGACTTGGGGGTTCTGCAATGGTGACATCATACGTGGGGCTCTTGTAATGCCCTCTCCCCGGAGCCGCACCCCTTTTCTGAACTTGCTGGAGGGTCTGCAGCAACTGCCGGTACGACTTGCCTTGCTCCACCTTCTGCAAAGGAGACAGAGGTGGCAGAAAATCCCAAGCAGGCAGGGGCATACAGCGGACACCACCCCCACCCCCGTTTAACAGCACTTAGGTATGCCAAGCAGTATCCAGGTTAACACTTTATTCATTGACATGTTTTATTGGCACTGCCTATATGATGTCATTTACACTGATTTTATGTTCTCTTTAATGGAAAATACAGTGGTACCTCGGGTTACAGACGCTTCAGGTTACAGACTCCGCTAAGCCGGAAATAGTACCTCAGGTTAAGAACTTTGCTTCAGGATGAGAACAGAAATCGGGCTCCGGCGGCGCAGCAGCAGCAGGAGCCCCCATTAGCTAAAGTGGTGCTTCAGGTTAAGAACAGTTTCAGGTTCAGAACGGACCTCCGGAATGAATTAAGTTCTTAACCAGAGGTACCACTGTATTGTTGGGTGTTTTGGGGAGGGGTTTCAGTCTGGATGATGCCCCGAGTCCATTCCAGTTCTTGGGGGTCCTGTACCCAGGGAGAATCTAAGGTTTTATTTCAGAACTAGTCAGACAAGTTTCTTTGCAAGACCATGACCTTAGCTGGCTACTGCAATGTCCTCATCAGCATCCCAAAAGAATGAGGCAGGTTACAGGAACAGCAACCAGTGATGGGACCTTCCAGGCTGATTGGGGGAGGGGGCATTTCTCCACCCTGCTCACCTGGCTGCCAGGTGAGCTGGAAGCTGGGGAAGGGCTTGAAGAAGGAGACCCAGTGACCTGCTTGCTCTACACTGGACCCAAAGCTGTGATTAATGGAGAAGCAAGATCTACCGGGGCTGTTGGGGCCATGAACCCCTCCATCTTACGCTCAGGTTGTATAGATATCCAGAGATTCTGAAGCACCTGCAGCTCCTGGGGTCTCTCGCCACTCGGAGACAGGGGTGGCATGTGAAAATACTTTGTATTTTCCTTGCTTTGAGCCACCTTGAGCATCATTTGGCAGAAAGTCAAGCCACAAACTTAATAATTAGGAAGGAGATACCTGTTTCCAGAGGGTCTCCATAGTTTCTGCTTTAAGATGCCCACATTTGTAGAGAAGGTGGCCAACGAGGGTGGACTTCCCAGACTCCTCTGAACCCGAGACCAGGATCCGGAGCGGAGGGTTCCTCATCTTCTCTGTGCCTGCAGCTGCCAACTCCTATATAGGGGAGGGGAGGGAGCAAAGACAGGGTGAGAGATGGGCATGGGCCTTTGGGTGAGGCACTGAAGGAGAACCTGCGTTTTACAAAATGCTAGTATACTGCTGCGTCATTGAAAAATTGCAGTTTACAGCAATAAAACCATATAAACAGGGGTTTTTTTAAAAAAAAACATTGTGGAAGGGTGCGTTCTTTATTTTCTGAAGGTACTAAAAAGTTTTCAGCAGGCGTTTCAAAGTTGACACAGAAGGTACCTGCTGAATCTCCAGTGGCAAAGAGTTCCACTGGACTAGCCCAATGGTACTAATGGATCAGGTGTGTCAGATGAGGGGAGCAACTGAATGAAGGAGCATCAAATCAGCCACTACCCTAGAGGTGCAAGAACAACTGTTTATGAAAACCTAGGATGACAGTCCAATAATTGAAGAACTTTTATTAGAGATGCCCCCCATTCAAGAGGTATGGTTCAACCTGCAAATTCCAAGAGCTATTCTCACCCGCATTAACAGAAAGCACAGACACACACACACACTGCCTCACAAAAAATACATTGTGTACAGCAAAGCTTGGGAGTCAGGCCACATTGCCCCCATGCCCTCCTCCACCCCAAATACATATATATATATATATATATATATATATATATATATATATATAAATAATATCAGAAGGAAACCTCTTTCATCACACAGTTAAGGAAATGGTTTGAGAGTGACTCTGGGATCAGCTCCATGCAAAGTTGGGGCTCTACCACCGAAGTAGATTGCTTCCCACTAGCAAAGCTGCCAAGGAGATCTTCGCTGTGATTCCTGCATTGCAGGGGGTTGGTCTAGATGCCCCTTTAGGTCCCTTCCAGCTCTAGGATTCTGTGAGCCTTCCGTTTCTAGAATCCTCCCACTATCAACGACACTGAACCCCAGCTATACCAGTCTGCCGCCCCTCAACACAGGCACATTCTTCCACTATCTCTCCTGGTTCCCACTGCACCCTTTACAGCAGCTGCGTTAACAGCCAGGAATTCAACAGGTGCAGCTTTCCACAGCATTTAGGAGATGCGGAGACGGAGAAACTTTGCCTGCTGAGTTCCTGCCTCCTGTGCAGCCGCTAAAGGCACAGGTGCACTGTCAGAAAACTCAAGAAGCAAGAGACAGCTGGAAGACCAAGATTGCACCTGGCGGCATCCTTTGGCATCACCAGACGTAAGAGCCACCTGCCCTGGTTGTCCTGCACGGAGGTACAGCACACCGGGGGTGGGGTCTCGTTCAAATAAGCACCCGCCCACTGAGCCATACTTCCTTGCAGCAGTGGCAGAACAAAGGTCAACTTCTGAGGCTGCAAAATGGACCAATGGACCTTCCTGTCCAGCCTACTAGGCTGCTCAGCACGTTGAATTTTTAAACTTTTCAAATTCCAAAAACTGAAAAGTTTTAAGATGACTTGGGAATTCAAAAGGTGGTTTGGTTAAATTAAGGTAATTGAGGTTTGCTTGGTAAGTAAAATGGGTGTGAAATTGCACAGAAATCGGTAAAAATGATTGCCAAGTTCCTGTGGTTATGTTCTATATAAAAATTATTATTATTACTCATTATTATTATTAAGCATTACCAGGCATTTTCAGAAAATTAAAATGCTTTGCTTTCCTGAAAGCATTTTGTGTGTTTCTTTATCAAACATAGACTTATCAAGCTAAGTCTTGTCTGGTCGCAAAAATAACCGGAGATTTGAATTCCTCACACCCAAAAACATATTTTTAAGATTCCCCACCAGAAAAGAATTCCGACTCTTGCATTGCAAGATGAGCCCTTGAGGTCCCTCCCAGCTCTATATTTCCGAGCTGGAAGACTTGGAGAGAGCAAGAAGCTTCTTTCCAAGCAGCTACAACATCCCAGAGTCAAGGTCAGCGAGTCCGACTCAGACCCCAGAGAGACCCGAACTCAACTCCCCATTGGGCTATGAAACTCAGTGGGTGACCTTGGGGGCCAGTGGCCGCCCCTCAGCCTAAGCTCCCTCACAGGACTGTTGTGAGGATAAATGGGGAGGGGGAAGGAGAAAGAGGCTGCCCACCTTGAGCTCCTGGGAAGAAAAGTGGGGTATAAATGCAAAGTGAATAAATGAGCTCAGAAGCCCATTATGGAGCAGGCAGATATTGCCTAAAGAGCCCGGACTTGGGGGTGGGAGTCAGGTGAAAAGAGACCAGCCATGAACAGATTATTGCAAGAAGTTCTGTAAGGAGGACTATTCAAAATATTGCAAGAAAGACTATGAAGAGAATTAGTTAAAGACAATTAAGAGTAATAGAGAAATTAAGAAATGCAGAATAAGTGATAAAGAACGGGAAATCATCAGAGGTTGTTGACGGATATTATAAAATATTGTATAAGATAAGAAGTTACAGTATGTTAAATGATTGTTGAAAATGATATGTAAAAAAACCAATAAAAATGTATTTAAAAAAGAAAGAAAAGAGACCAGCCAAGACTCCCTCCCTCCTTTGAAATCCTTTCCCCCAACTCTCTTTCTCACACAACAAAGGCATCCTCAAGTCCAAAAATTTAAATGGATTTAGCCCTTGGGGGTTACAGTTATAATCACGGAGGGGTTCGCTTCCAATTTGCACCAGTGCAAATAGTAAACACAGTGCTCATTGCAATTGTCTGCTAATTGGAGACAAACTAATTGAGGGAGGAAGAGGACCAGTCAAACCATCACCTGTTGCAAGCGTCAACCAAGCCAGGTGGCTGAGCCCCCCCAATACCCAACGCCTCCTCCTCCCTAAGCCTCCCATAGCAGACAGCATATACCTTCCAGGCCCAGGTCCTTCCCCAGCTCTGCCCCCTGGTTTCCCCCTTGCAATGCCCCCACCCCTCCCAGAGGGAGCTTTAAACCCTGGCCACGCCCACCTGCAACCAGGGGAACTCCCTGAGCAGAGATTAACCCCACCTGGCACCCAGCTGAGTCATCCAAGCATATTCAATAAACACACAAGACGTAATCGGCTGTACGTTTGAAAAAAAATAATATATACTATTCATTGTATTGAATTGTAGATTTCAACAGAAGTAACTCAAAGTTCAACGAAAAAAGTAGAAGACCCAGTGGATCAGTTCATTCTCCAATCAGTTTATGCATAAGGTCCATATATGTGAAAGTGTCTGTTCCACCTGTCTGTTCCTAATCCACACGAAAGGTTGTTGCAGTTCCACAGAATCCTTTCACAGAGTCTAAAAGAAGGATTTCCGGAATATTAGCCTTGTTTCTCCATCTTGGGCTTCATCAGTAGTACAAACTCGTAAATGATATCACAGGACAGTGGATCATCCTTGTTTTAGACTCTGTGAAAGGATTCTGTGGAACTGATATTTTAAGGTTTTTTAAATGAATATTCTAAATTGTAAAACACAAAATCTAATAAAAAATTATATTAAAAGAGTTTGTGCAAGCAGAAGGTGGGGGTGGAGGAAAGGTCTTGTCCTCTGCACCTGCCCCACGGTCCTTGTTAGACCTCCAATGTGAGCTGAGCATCTACTTACCTGCAGGAACAACCCCCACCTGGGCAGAAGAGGTGGAGGCCGGCTTGACTGGAGGCTCCCTGGGCTGAAACAGCTTAAAATATTCTCTTCCCAATTATGCTGTATTCAATTGTATCCTATAGACCTCCATTGATAATGTTTTATTTATGATATCTTTATGATAATATTTTAGTTTCCTGCTAGTTATGTTGCTTTGAATGTATATTTCATAGGTGACCTTCTGCTGCAATGTTTCGCTTTGGAATGTTTATTTGATGCAATTGTAAACCCCTTTGAGGGTTATATAAAGTGGGATAAAAATGAAAATAATAATAATAAATATTAAAAGGCCAAGGGGAGCAACAGAGTGTGCTGCCCCTGGAATGACTGCCAGCAGGTTGACAGCAAAGGGACATTAGCTTTTAGAGGGGGGTGATATGAGAATATTTAAAAAACAAAACAAAAAAAAACCCCAGCTTTTATGCCAATGATCATGGACAAACAGATCAGCTTCCAAAAGCAGCATTAGACATTTGGTTATCCTAACCATTTATTACGGACTCTGCAGATGCAATATCATCATTTTGATATGTCTCCCACCAGTTGCCAGATGGTGCTGTAAATGTACCGTAGGTTTTCCACATAATGCTGTTGTTGAAACTTCACATTTTTCTTCCTGTGGACACCTGACTGTGTGAAGAGATATTGTGTTGTTATCACTGTTTATTATTGCTCAAGTGTATTTTGTTGTAGTTTAGTCGTTTAGTCGTGTCCGACTCTTCGTGACCCCCTGGACCAGAGCACACCAGGCACTTCTGTCTTCCACTGCCTCCCGCAGTTTGGTCAAACTCATGCTGGTAACTTCGAGAACACAGTCCCACCATCTCGTCCTCTGCCGTCCGCTTCTCCTTGCTCCCTCCATCTTCCCCAACATCAGGGTCTTTTCCAGGGAGTCTTCTCTTCTCATGAGGTGGCCAGCTTCAGGATTTGTCCTTCCAGTGAGCACTCAGGGCTGATTTCCTTCAGAATAGAGAGGTTTGATCTTCTTGCACTCCATGGGACTCTCAAGAGTCTCCTCCAGCACCATAATTCAAAAGCATCAATTCTTCGGCGATCAGCCTTCTTCATGGTCCAGCTCTCACTTCCACACATCACTACTGGGAAAACCAGAGCTTGAACTATACGGACCTTTGTTGGCAAGGTGATGTCTCTGCTTTTTAAGATGCTGTCACTGCTTTTATACTTCCTCAATAAAATGGGGGTGGGGGGCCTGACTCTGTTCATTTTGCATGTGGGGTGCTCACATCATTCCCCTCTGCAACCACCAGAGGGCGGGCTGCACCCAAAAGAAAGCAACTCTCCCTCCGCCACCCGCTCCCCCCAGAGCCCATCTGGCGCCTTTGCTGCAACCCAGAACTCGGGGGCAGAGAATCTGCATCAGTCACAGCCCTCAGGGGCAGAGACCCTCCATGGTATCTGAGGAAACATTGACAGCATCCTTCAGGTCTTCCCCATGCAGCGCCCCCATTGAAGGAGCGCCCCCTCCAAGAAACCTCCACCCAGCTGGCCTTGCAAGGCCACTGCCCTGTGCCTCCACAGAGAATCACAGAATTGGAAGGCGGCTTTCCAAAACCGCCAGAGTCTGGACTTCTTTCATTCAACTATGGAACAAGTCCTCAAAGGCTGTTTGCAGGTGTCATAAGAATTCTAAGGTCTCAAATATATAAATTAAATGTTCATAAATGTACAAGGCAAACAATACATATGTACAGTGGACGCTCGGGTTGCGAACATGATCCGTGTGGGATGCACGTTCGCAACCCGCAGCGTTCGCAACCCGCGTCTGCGCACACGCGGGTTGCGATTCGGTACTTCTGCACATGCGCAAAGCACAATTTATTGCTTCTGCGCATGCACAACCGCAGAAACCCGGAAGTAACCTTTTCCAGTACTTCTGGGTTTTGGCGGTCCGCAACCTGAAGCGGCTGTAACCCAAGGTATGATTGTATATAAACCACGTGTCTGAACTAGTACAGGAGAGCAATCCTGAAGCCATTTTGACTCTCCCAAACCAGTTTGACTCTCCCAGTGACCTCAAATGTTTCTCTGCAAGGAGGGAGGAAATGGGAAAGCCTCTCCATTGTCTTTTGCTTACCTGTCTTAAGGGCGTATTTGTGTAGGAATAGGGCGAGCCTGTGACCTGGATTCAGGAATTAAAGTATTTACCACCACAAAAGGATGGCCAGGCTGCCCAGGTAATGCAACCAGCGACCATTATCAGGTATCCTGGCAGACAGGATTTCTCCTGGAGGCCGCCTCTTTCTGTGACATATGTATGATGTTTTGGGGAGTGGTCTTGGGCTACAGGGTGGGCAATTTCAAAAGTCTATATAAGGGCTTGCGTTTCATTGTTCTGGGTCCCTCCTCCCTCCTGCATGTGGTGAGTGAGGACCCTGTTGCAACAGTTAATAAAGATCAGGCTTACTAGCCACTTTGCTTCTCAATATTCTCTGGTTGGCCTCTGTTGTTTTCTCCTTCTGATAGGATATTTAAGGACTCAATACAGGCTCTTAGATACCCCGTAAAGGAAAAGGAGCAGTGTTTTTCTTATAACACAGGTTTCCCAAAGAACAGGGTGCCTCCAGTAAGAACTGGATAGGCCTGTTATGGAAATTATGGGGGGGGGCACATCTTTAAAGTTGTTAAATGTTACAAATATTATGCATAAATGTATCCTTTCGACTTGACAGCTCAGGGAAGTTACCTAGCTTTAAAAATCATGTAAAATCAACTCCTTTGCCAGTTTCCTTCATTCCACCGCCAATTTGCTTCATTGGCCAAGGACTTGGAAACCACTTGGTCCCTGCCATAATCCCTCAAGCGGGAGGTCGCGTACTCACAAGAAGGTACTCATAGGTGTCAACCGCTGGGCAAAGGCACTCCTCCGGACTTGCCCAGGTGGCAAGACTATGCAAACCTAAGTTCTATTGTTCTTTTGCAGTAGGTGCTCAAAATGTACTTCCCAATACATATCCTGTCTCCGCCTGTTGCCCCAACACATTCCTCCTATGTTTCTCATGTATAACCCTCCCCTTCTCTGATGTAGCGATGATGTAGTGATGATGCTTAATGAACTGTATGCTGGGGTAAGATAGAAACTTTAAAAAAATCCTTGTCACCCCATCCTCGGGGTTCAAAATTCCTCTTTGAGCCTGTTGCACAATAAACTTTGGTCTACAGCTATTTGCTCCGGTTGGTGGCTGGACTCCTTCCTTTATTCCGCAGGGACCCACGGGCTCAGCAGGATGAGATGGGCGACTGAGCAGCCTCACACCTAGATTTTTCCGTAACAGGCCGCTTAGGTTCTTAGATTAAGCAAAGGTAAAAGGACCCCTGACCGTTAGGTCCAGTCGTGGCCGACTCTGGGGTTGCGTCGCTTTACTGGCCAAGGGAGCCAGCGTACAACTTCCGGGTCATGTGGCCAGCATGACTAAGCCGCTTCTGGCGAACCAGAGCAGCGCACGGAAACACTGTTTACCTTCCCACCAGAATGGTACCTATTTATCTACTTGCACTTTGATGTGCTTTTGAAATGCTAGGTTGGCAGGAGCAGGGACCAAGCAATTGGAGCTCACCCCGTCGTGGGGATTCGAACCACCGACCTTCTGATCAGCAAGCCCTAGGCTCTGTGGTTTAACCCACAGCTCCACCCACGTCCCTCTTAGATTAAGTAAGCAGGGCTAATTGTGCACATGAGAGTGCAGGGTAGGGCTCTTCCAAGATGTGAACTCATCATCTGCACTTCTGATAAGTACATGCATTAAAAAAACCAAATCACTGCCAAGTTAACTGGTGTCACCTTTTTAGTAAGAAGGGAAATAATCAGGTTAGCTAATCCACAGAACAACAGCACTGTGGGTGTGTGGAGGGGAAGATTGTGGGTCCCTTTGGTGAGAGCAGCCCCAGAGGTGGGGAGATTAAATTGGAAAGCACACATTAAAGGCCACTAAGCAGCCGTAGCAGAAGGCAAGAGACAGATTTATTCAAAAATACTTCAAAGGATGCAGAGGATCTGTGTGGAAAAGCCACCACGCGTAGCGTGATTTTGAACTCCAAATTACCATCCTTTAAAGCTTTGCATATATAGGTCACTGTAGTCTAGGCCACAAATCGTTCTTGGGTGGCAGAGGGACCTCAGAGGCAGAGTGAGCAAGGAAAGGCTTCGGTCGCTTTCTCCTTTGCAGAAATCCAAGACACAGAAAGGTCTCTCTCTCTCTCTCTCCAGGTTGTGGCATGAAGTACACGAGTCTCGACGAAGGAATGTCTTCATTCCCAAACACAGATTGGGCACATTAAAACATTCTGGAGCTTTGAAAACCTTTTGGGCTGGGGGCAGTCTTCCTGGACTACAATCCCCATCATCTCTCTCTGGTCACCGTGGTCAGAGCTGATGGGAATTTTATAGCCCAACATCACCTGAAAGGTGACAAGAATGGCAACTTAAACTGACGGAATACGCACAGCTTGCAGATCTAACATAGAATAAGAGAACAAGAACATTTCTTTAAAGAAGATTGGAAAATGTTTATTGAATATATGGGGGGAAATTGTGTACACTTGAAAACGTCGGCAGCATTAAGATAAATTCGAAAGTGTAAATAAGTTTCGATGGAAGTAATAATAGAATACTGAATGGTTTAGGTTCATGGGTAGGCAACCTAAGGCCCAGGGGCCGGATGCGGCCCAATCGCCTTCTCAATCCAGCCCGTGGACGGTCCAGGAATCAGCGTGTTTTTACATGAGTAGAATGTGTCCTCTTATCTAAAATGCATCTCTGGGTTATTTGTGGGGCTTAGGAATTCGTTCTTTTTTTTCTTCCAAAATATAGTATGGCCCACCACATGGTCTGAGGGACAGAGGACCGGCCCCCTGCTGAAAAAGTTTGCTGACCCCTGGTTTAGTTTGTATAAAATATGCAGGGATTTATGTTATGCAAAACAACCCATGGAAAGAGAAGAAAGGAAGTCACTGATATTTTAAGGTTGTCTAAATGAATATTCTAAATTGTAAAACATAAAATCTAATAAAAATTGTGTGTGTGTGTGTGTGTGTGTGTGTGTGTGAGAGAGAGAGAGAGAGAGAGAGAGAGAGAGAGAGAGAGAGAGAAACAGGTTAGCTTCCCCTGCGCTCAATGGAAACAGCAAGCCTTTTTCAATCAAGTCTACTACTCTGGTCTCAGACAAGCTGTATGTAACTTCAACACTTGCTCTGTGACATGTTTGCAATTAATGCAGCAAAAAATACATTGCAACCTTCCCGCAACTTGCTGAAAAAGTCTGCAAATATTAATTGTTGGGTGTTAGCTCCATACCCTGGCACATACATCTGGTTTTAAGGACCAGCCTGAAGAGTCCTGGACCTGTGTGACCTGGAAGACTGCGAACAGACTAGCCAGACCAACTCAGTAACTCTCTGGTTCTTTAAGGAGAAGTGCAGCCAGGCACAGAGAGGTCTCCCGGCGCAGAAACGCTGCGAGGACAAGGCAGTTTTCACCATCCCTCCGCGGCAGGCGCAGTAACGCAAAGGCACACAAAGAAGCTATTTTTAAAATACTTTATTTTCTTTAAATATTAATACGGGACATTACAAAAGAATAAAGAAATACAAAAAAACCGCTATAAAACCACTCGGGGTCTCCCTGAAACGGAGAAAAACCCCAGAGGCGCTCCTCCCAGCCCCGCTCTCACCTGCCAGCCCAGCCAACCTCCACCAGCAGCCTGAGTTTTTTTGTATTTGTTTTAAAAAACACACACACACGTCGGGGGGGGGCAAAGAAAGGCATCATCTTAACCATTCAAACTGGTTGGTAAGTTCAACACTGCGTTAACAGTTTTAATCTCCTGGGAGAGAAAAATTGCACATTAAAAGGACCCAAAGTGTGAGGTTCTGTACAGCTATACAGGAAGCAGCAGCAGCAGCAGCCGCTGCGCTGCGTCCAGACTCTCTGCCCGACCACAGGGCAAGTCGAGGGTCAGCTCAGGAAAAAAGCCAGGCTGAAGCAGGCGGTCACTCTGCTCGCCGCCACCCCTACCCCCCCCCCGGGGCACTGCTGTGGGCAGTCCAGGCAGGCGCCCCCGTTTCAAGTCAGAGAAAGCAGCTTCTGGACAGGCAAAATGGAAGTCAGGGATCCCAAGGTTTTGGCACCACATTTTGTCAGGGAGGGGTTTTAACGGAGGGGGGCAGGAGAAAGGGTGCTTTTGCAAAACAGCGTCAAAACCCTTTGGAAGTCAAGCCTACTTCACTTCCCTGCGGGTGGAGCAAAGTCTCAGCTGGAGAGGATAAGAAACGCTTCTCTGAAAATGTCCCTCTGAAAAGTTTTTTAAAATGCAGCCTCTAAAATAAAGCACCACACAAGCAGGTCTCCCGGCGACTCTCCTCCTCTTCCCCACGCTGGCCTGGCCCTTCCGGATCTCCCTGAAAAATGGCACCCCCATACCCCTAGACACGCACACATACACCTCCCCTCGGACCTCTCCTCAGACCCTGGCTCTGAACCTTGACGCCTACGTAGCTTGCGCCCTTCTCAGGCCGGCTCTTCCCATCCCCGGCCCCCGCAAAAAAAAAGGGAGCGCTCAGATGAACCACACCGGACAGTAGAAAGCAACCCTTGCAAAGTTTCTATTAAGCGTAAAAAAAACCCAAAAAACCAGGAGCCGCCAAGCCAAGCAGGCCTCGAGCTCCATGGCAAATGCGGCAAGTTGGCACAGCGGCTGGAAGACCCACCCAGGCAGGTGAGGTTGGCTCCACAGAGCCCAGACGTCTCGTGGGCTCCAAAGCGAAGGTGGCGCGGGAGCGGAGGGGCAAGAGCAGGCCTTCTCCGTTCCCGCGGAGGCACAAAGCGACGGAGGAATGGCACCGTGGGGGCCCAGTCCAGGTGCAGATGGGCCCTGCTTCTGCAAGGCAGGATCGGACGGCTCCTTGGCACGTTGCCCAGTGGCAGCCAGAGCACAGAGTCGCTTAGAGAAGTCCTCAGACCGTCCACAGGAAGCAGGAGAGAAGTCCGGGTCCTATTTACACCGGAGCAGGTTGGGGGTAGCCACGTCCCGGCTGCTTGTCAAACTGCCCAGTAGAAACCCTCCAGGAGCGGCGAGAGGGGTCTCGAGGCTTGTGCCAGGCTCAAGAGGGAGGGAGAGGGGGAGGGAGCGAGTGGGTGGGTGCCAGCCGGGCCGTGGGGCAAAGGAGGGAGCGCGCACACAAGCCAGGTCAGAGCGTCTCTTGGAAAAGGAGGACGTGGGTGGGCAGCCAGGGGCGCTTCCCCCTCCCCGTGCATCGCGAAGGTCGAGTGGACCGCAGCACCCGTGCGTGAAGTATTGCTGCTCGGAAGGCAAGGTGGCCGGCCTGGCAGGGAGGCCGGGGGCCGTCCAGCCCGGAGGGGGGGCCCTAAGAGCAGGGGAGGTGCTGCTTGAGGATCTGCCGGGTCTGGGGGGCTATTCTGTCCGGGAAGCGGACTTTGAACTCTACGATCAAGTCCCGCGCTGGGTGGGCACCTTGGGGAAGGGCAGCCCCTCGCCACGCAGTCTCTTCACGGTGCCCGGCTTGATGATGTCGTTGCAGGGCAGCGGGATGACGCGCCCGTCCACGGTGGGAATGTTGACGGTGCAGCCGCACAAGGCCTGCAAGAGAAGGAGGAGGAGGAGGCAGGGTTAGGCCGGGCGCAGGGCTTGCAACAAGAAGGAGAAGCGCTGCTCATGCACAAGTCAAAGCAATACGGGTGACATGCAAACACCAAGAAACATGGAGAAGATTAAATGCTTAGAAAATTAAAACAATGCAAAATATATATCAAGACTCAGATAATAAAAGCGGCACAGCTTTATTTTAGGCAGGCTCAGGGAACAGCCACCAGGTGCACACAATACCTGCTTTTTTAAAAATGCACTTTCTTTCAGAACCTTTCTATTATGTCGCCCCTGAACCCCGCCTCAAAGGATCAGAAAAGGAAACATCTTGGGGGGCAGAATTGTGCAATTCCAGCCTGCAACCTGCACTGAGCCCGAGCGAATGAGCCAGCACAGGCTAAATTTAGACAGGCTTTACGGCTTAATCCCCAGCAAGGGAACCAGAACTGGGGGGGGGGGGCGGCCGTGGCTTCCAGCGCCTGCTCAGCTGTTGCACACACAGTGGCCTTTGCCCGGCTGGCAGCCAGCAGCCTCCAAAGCTCATGAAAGCAAGAGTCCGCGGGAGGGGGCGGCTTTGGCTTTCAGTCCTGGGGGGGGGGGCATGCTACTTCCAGGAAGTTAAAACTTTCGAGGATCCTCTCCTGCCAGCTTCAAGGATAATGGTCTGGAAGGGCGGAGGCAGCAGAGACAGGCCTCAGCCAGGGCTATTTTTACCTGCCAGCGCAGAAAGAGAGCGGCCAAAGGATCTGCCCTGACCCTGACCAGTGTGGGGAAAGAGAAAGGTGGCAGGGCGCTCCCTTCGGCACCCTCCTGTCTCTCCCTATCCCCCATACAGTATTTTTCGCTCCATAAGGCGCACCTGACCATAAGGCGCACCTAGTTTTTAGAGGGGGAATGCAAGAAAAAAAATATTATTGAAAGGAAGCGCTGAGCAGAGCCTGTCTGCATCCCAGGCTCTGCTCAGCGCTCCCTTTCACGAGCAGCACACACACTCCGTGTGGCTTTTTAAAGGGAGTGCGGCTCTTGGGGGCTTTTCCGGGAGGTGGGGAAAGGGACTGAGGGGCTAAGCCAGAAGATAGAACAGCAAGAGGGAGCACTGCGCAGCGATCCCTCTCACTGTTCTGGCTTCTAGCTTAGCTGCGCAGCCTGCATTCACCCCATAAGACACACACACATTTCCCCTTACTTTTTAGGAGGAAAAAGGTACGTCTTATAGAGTGAAAAATACGGTAATTGCACAGCAGGGAACATAAAACTGGCTGAGTCTCTCCGCTTTGGAGCCAGCCTAGGCTGCCCTTTGCCTCTCTCCCGATGGGACCCTGAGGAGCAAGCCTTGAGGTTCCGGGCTGCTCTATCTCCCCAGAGACTCTGCAGGTCTGCTAGGCTTCCCCAGGTACATCAGAGGCAGCTCCTAACTAGGGACATGAAGTCAAGGCCTTAAGGCAGCCTTCAGAACATAACTGCCCCCTGTGGAAGTGAGTTCCAAAGTTTAACGACAAGCAATGTGCTTGCTTTTATGCTGCCTTCTTCCTGGGAGACAGATGTTGAGCTCAAAGGATGAAATAACGGCGAGATGTTGCATCAAGAAGGAGTCCCGTCCCACCTTCCGCCACGTTAGCCCAGCTGCTTCGACAAGAGACCAGGTCAGATTGCTCAAATCACCTGGTCCTGGTGGCACCTTGCAACTGGCTGGCAGTGCCCCAGGCTGCATATGCCAATGTTTAATAGGTTTTTTTATTTTAATATTCTGTTGGAAGCTGCCCAGGGTGGCTGGGGAAACCCAGCCAGATGGGCGGGGTATAAATAATAAATTTATTATTATTATTATTATTATTATTATTATTATTTGGGGGAGAAAGAGATGCAGCTGCCTTACTTGTTTCCAGCCCCATTCTGTCCTGTTCAGACCCCTTTAAAGCTCTCCCTCAGGTCTGTGGGTCCAGAGAGACGTATCCCATGGCCCCACACACCAGCCCAGAATTATCAGTGTTTCGGCTTGGAAGCCGCTGTGTCTCCAGCTCCGCCCCCCCCCCTTCCCAAAGAGCCACCCGCAGGAATGGATAAATTTGTTCCAGCCCACAGTATCTCCGGGAAAATCCACCCGCCTTGGGGCTTCGCCCGCCAACGAGCACGAAGGAGAGAGATTTCACAGCAGATACCCAAATGGCCCTGACTGGCTCCCACCCAAGAGGAAAAGGCGGAGGAGGAAGGCCAGCTGAAGAACTCGGAATGGGAGAGATTGCGGGGGGAGAAGACCAGAGAAGGGTGAAGCCCTCAGGCAAGCCAGTCCAGCTCTGCCGCTGAGCAAGAGGGGGCCCCCAGCTTCCTTGGACAGCCCCTTTCATGCCGTAGGGAGGCTGAAGATCACTTGTCTCTTGACACCGTGCAGAGTGCTAGATGACTTCCAGGGAGATGCTGCAGGTGGAGCCAGAGGCTTTGCTATGCAGTTCAGCTCCCTCAGAGGCTTGGAGAAAGTCTTCCTTCTCTCTCCCAGCCTCCCCAAGCCAGGGCACTCATCTTCCCAACAGCCCTGCAAGGCAGCTTAAGCCGGGAGGGAGGAGGGTGCCCAAGGCCACTCCATGAGCTTGGGGGTCAGGGATGCGGGTCCAAGGGCTGTGACCCAATCCCACCACCACCGCCTGATCTCTATTCCAGCTTCTTAAATGTATTTCCTGTATGCTGCAAAGTGCTTCCCAAACTCAGGTCTCCAGCTGTTGTGGTACTACAACTCCCATCATCCCTAGCTAGCAGGAGCAGTGGTCAGGGGTGATGGGAGTTGTAGTCCCACAACAGCTGGAGACCCCAGTTTGGGAAGCACTGATGCTGCGTAAAAGGCAGGAGCTTGTGTGCCAGTGCAATTGTTTGGGAAAGGGTGAGAGCATAGAATAACTTGGTGTTGGTGGGAGAGAGGGGGGAAAGGTGAAGACTCAGGGGATCCACTGGGATCCTCTTGAGCCCCCTCCTCACCTGTCGAGCGCCAGAGGCATCCCGTCTCCCCTACTTGCCCTCCGTCACTCTCCTTAAGAGGAGCACCCAGCACGCAGCTCACATCTTCAGCCAGATTCAAAGGTTGTGCAAAGACCGAACTACACACAAGCTGAGGAATCGGGAGAGGAGGGTAGACTTGCAACAAAAGGCTTATTTTATTTGTTTCCTTCAGACAAAGGCCCGTTCTGTGGGGAGGCGGTAAACAAGTCAATCTTATCGTTTCCTTTAACAGCTGCGACCTTGCAGCATCTTTCAAACAAAGGGGAGAATCGAGGAACTTTTTACATGTCTCGATTTCATTTCATCTCCTGATTTTGGAGGAAGCAGCATCTGGAAGGCTTGCCCTCGCTCTGCCTCTCTTTGCCCAGGCCTACTGGAGTCTGCCGGAATCATGGAACTGTAGAACTGCAGAGTTGGAAGAGACCCCCAAAGCTCATCTAGTCCAACCCTCAGCAATGCAGGGGTTCTTCAACCCCTTCTAGGGTAGGCTATCCTCTTTCTTTGGGAAGCTTCACAGATGCCAGGCTGCCTGCCTGCCTGTACACCTCAGGGCATGAAGCTTCCTCCCGAGAAGTCATGTTGTTTCACCACATATCACAGAAGGGACCTCGAGGGTCATCCAGCCAACCCCCAGCAATGTTGGAATCACAGCCGGCGAATCCCTGGTGGAAGGCCTTCCGCCCTCTGCATGAAAAGTGAAGGAAAGCCCACCACTTTCCCAGCTGCGCTGTCAAACAGCCCTTGCTGCCAGTGCACCCTTTATCCCAAAGGAATTGCACCCTCCAAAATCCTGGACAATACAGGAAAGGGGCTCCCCCCACGAAAGGCAGCCTTTGGCAGGACGGAGTGGGGCAGCAAACAGCAGCATTGCCCCCAGCCCCTGCCTTCCTGTGCCAACCTCTTGTCTGTGGCACCAGCAGCCCCACGGGGGACGCGCAGAGCCCCTACCCCGCCCTCCTCGGCCCAAGGACGCACCTCTTTCAGACTGATCATGGCCGTGTAGATGATGTTTGTCCCGTCCCTCCGGAAGAGCGAGTGCGGCTTGTCCTTCAGGATGAAGACGATGTCGGCGGGGATGTTGTCAGGAGTGGCGTCTCCTTCCTTGGGGAAGGTGATCTTGGTGCCCTCCTTCCAGCCGCGCTTGATGACGATGTTCAGGATCTTGTCCTCCGTCCGCATGGTCCGGCCGTCCGGGTTCAGCCGCCGGCGCGTGATCTTCATGCGCTTGGTGGCCCCGTGGTAGATCTCCTCCAGGGACACCTTCAGCTCGTGGACCACGGGAGGATCCTGCACCTTCCGGCGCATGTGGATGGGCTCCGGGTGGCGGCGGTGGACGCCGTTGAGCCCGTTGAAGCCGAACCGGCCAAAGGCACTGAAGGGGTCACCGCCGTCATCGTCGTCGATGTCCATGTCGTCGTGGTCGAAGCCGTTGAAGACCCGGGAGCGGCCGCTGGTGAAGAAGATGTCGAAGGGGTTAGAGCCCCCAAAGAAGGAGGCGAAGGTGGCATGAGGGTCTCCGTGGAAGGTGTAGTGGAAGGTGTTCCCAGAAGTGCCCGATGAGCCGCCGCCAGTTTTGAGCCCTGGAAGAGAACCAGAGAGAGAGCAGGGGACAGTCAGGCAGGTGCTCTGGAAAGGAGTGCTAAAAACAGACCAAATTCACTAAGAGAAGCAGGATTGGGCAGCCTGAATTGGCCGGCCAAGAACCTGGGAGCACATCTGATGGCCCCTAGCCAGGACGGCTCTGCTCTGCCTCCACAGCTCCTGAATACCAGGTGCTGGAAACCACAGGAGAGGAGAGTGGCTCTTATGCTCAGGTCCTGCTTGTGGGTTTCTCATCTGGGCATCTGCTTGGTCCCAGGAACAAGAGGAGGCTGGGCCTCATCCAGCAGGATCTTCACAGGTTCCCCAGCGACAGGGCCAGGAACCCAACAGTGCAGGACCCTGAAGCCGTGACCCCAGGGCGCTGGTCCTTTGCCTTTCAGCAGAGCGCTCAAGGGCCTTGAAGACACCCCCGTTCCCCATGGCCTGACCAGACCACACGTTTTGGAATGGTTTTGCACCACAAGGAGCCCGGGTGAGAATCAGGGAAACTGAGATTACAGCTGGCATAATTTGGTACTTCAGCACAAAGCCAGGTATAAGGAAGGAGATTCTGACTAAACATCTGGAGCAGCAACTGTCTGGCGGTAAGAGCTGTTGGACAGTGGGACAGACTCCTGTGGGAGGTGGTGAACTCTCCTTTGTCGGAGGTGTTTAAGCAGAGGTTGGATGGCCACCTGTCAGGGATGCTTTAGTTGATATTCCTGAATAGCTTTTAAAGTTTAATAGATTATTGCATTTTAATATTCTGTTGGAAGCCGCCCAGAGTGGCTGGGGGAACCCTGCCAGATGGGCGGGGTATAAATAAATTGTTGTTGTTGTTGTTGTTGTTGCTGCTGCTGCTGCAGGGGGTTGGGCTAGATGACCCTCAGGGTCCCTTCTAACTCTACAATTCCATGATTCGTAAAGTGTGCAGGCAGGGGGGCTTCCTCCCCTCTAAGCTACAAGATGAGCAAGGGTTATTGCAAGAGCAGAGACTGGGGGGAGGGGGGAGGCTGGATGCTTCCAAGCCCAACAGGAGATCAGGCGGCAAGACGAAAGGCCCAGGGGAGAGAGACAGGGGTGCCAGGAGCCCAGAACTTGGGGAAAGAACAGGGAGCTTGAGAGGCTGCAAAGAGGAGCAGAGCCAGGCCAGCACTTTCTGGGTCCCCATTTAGCAGCCAGCCTGCAGCTGCAAAGCTTTTAATAGCAAGACATTCTAGCGCAGCATCCTCCACAGCTCTGGCCCCACCAGGGAAGAGGACGGTGCGTGGCCAAGAGAGCTCTCTGGCCTCCCAGAGGGCCTGCTCCCCCCTCCCTCCTTAGCAGCCAGAGCTTTCAGTTTAATCCCATAACCACTGGATCCCAGAGAAAAAGCATCTAAATGGGGCTGGGTTCTTCTAAGGACTTCACTTATTCCCTCAGGAAAGCGAATGGCAGCTTTTAGCTGAAATTACAGCAATTTCACGTTGTCAATCACAACGGTGACCTCGTGAGACACACACCCAAGTCCCAGGAGGCGGCAGGCAGCAGAGAGCACCTGCCAGATCCCAGCTTTTATTTCCAGACCAAAGCTGGAAGCCAGATGCTCCTTCTGGCATCTCAAAGCTTCCCCGGGAGAGCATCCCATCTTCCTCCGGCCCCTCGCCACACTTTGGTCACACGTTAAAAAAAGAAGACTAGCCCTTAAGTTGGCAGAGAAACTGCGGAACTGCAAGGAGGTGGAGGAGAGAGGGAAGGAGCCAGCGGAACGCCCCAAGAAGTCACGGCATCAGCTACTGGCCCACCCCCCAGGAGCCCCCAAACCCATTTCCGTGTCCCCTGTCAAACGTCCCCTGCTGCCCCTCCAAATTAGTTTGCAAACTATACTCCAGAAGCTAGATTCACATAGAGCAAATGCATGCAATTTCACCCAATCCGTGTCACTTGTTCCGATCAAAGAACATGCATTTCCAGGCCAGAATTTGGATAAACTCTGCTGGAGGTTGTTTATCTGAGACCTTCTGCTCAGCAAGTCCTGGGCAGGACCGGCTGATTAACACCACTGCTATTCCCAGCAGTTCCCTTCCTCCTGCAGAACCTGACATGTTCCCTGCCAACAGCCCGGGTTTGCTTATGAAACAAGGAGCTATTACTAAAATTGGGAAAGGCTCTCTCTCTCTCTCTCTCTCTCTCTCTCTCACTCACTCACACACGGCAGCATGTACTGAAAAGGAAGTGGAGGAGAAGGAGAAGGCATGAGCCAAGCCTCAATTACGCCACAGGGAAGATGTTTGCACCCACAGATCACGGTGCCAGTGCATTTCCACACACTCCGGGAGGAACCAAGTCCTTGCAAGCAGCGCCATTAAAAGCGCCAGGTTCTCCAGGGAGCTGCCACCAGCTTTTCCCACAGCCCAGGCCCACAAGGGGGCTTTCCTCCCCACTTAGCCGCCTTAGCCGCACAGGTGAGTGAGGTGCCTCCACAGGTGCCCTTCAAAGGTTATCACAGGGAAGCAGGCAAAGACACTCTCTCTCACATCAGGCCAGAGGCTGGATTTGGGGGTCTTGAGCCCTACAAGCCTGCAGCTAGGCAGGGAGGGGCTGTGGCCAGGAGGCAGGCTTAGACCCCCACCCACCCACCCAAATAAACCGCAAGCTCCCTGGCCAGCCCAGAGACCCGGCCACCCGCTTACCTTCTTCCCCGTACTGGTCATAGACGGCCCGCTTCTTGGGGTCACTCAGCACATCGTAGGCCTCCGCAATCTCCTTGAACTTCTCCTCCGCGTTGGGGTCCTTGTTCTTGTCCGGGTGGTACTTCAAGGCCATCTTCCGATAGGCCTTCTTGATCTCGTCTTCATTGGCTCCGGACTGGATCCCCAGCGCTTTGTAGTAGTCCTTCCCCATGTTGGTGGTGGAGACGGTCCCGGCCGCCGCCGCAGACTCTTTATTCCTGGGGTGGGAGAGGAGAGAGGGGGAAAAGGGGCGTCAGAAAGGACTCCAGGCTGACCACTGAACGGCTCCTCCACACCCCCTCCAGCCCCAGTCAGTCCGTCCACACGGCTGCCCACTAGCTCAGCACCAACCTGCGCTACTGAGGGGGGGTGGGATTCGAGGTTCTAGCGCCCCAACGTCCAGGCCGAGTCCTGGGGGAGGCCTCTCAGAGCTCTGCCAGCCGCTGCCCCTCTGGATCTGTCAGCAGTTTGGGTTGGGGGAGGGATTTTTAAGGAGGTTGACTCACCCTCCTGCTGCACAATTCACAGGGGCAGAATGCAGAGCGAGCGAGAGAGAGGGGTGGTCACTGTTGTTATTTGGAGGCAGCACCACGTGATGCTGTAACTGGAGAGGGCGGCCGGTTTTGCCAGGCCACAAATAGGTGTGCAGGGAAGGAGCCTTGGGAAGGACAGAACTGGCGGCCCTTGGACCGGACAGCGGAAAAGCAGCTGCCATGCGTATGTCGAGGGCAGCGTGCGGCCAGGGAGGCGGCAGGCGGCCCTTCCTAGCGCCTGGCCGGTCTCAGCGTTTCCAAAAAGGGGAGGAAGAAGGCAGGGGGAGCGAAATGTATTCAAAGCAGGCTTCATAACGAAGCAGAACGAGAGGTTAATTAGCCAAGGAAGGATTCCTTCCCCCAGCTTTTCTCTCTCCCTTCTGTGCTTTTGCAGATTGCCTTAAAAGAACTTTTTAGAACAATACAGCACTGGGAGTTCACGCGGGGACATGTTCCCACCATGTACCAGCGGAAAGACGGCAGAGGATGAAGCTGTTAGACAGAGACATCTTGCAATGGGGGGCGGGGGGGGAGTTATTTTTAAAAGTAAGCGCCAGCCCAGCTGAAGCGAGAGGAGAGCCTGCGATTTGCAGAGGGAAGCCAGAGGAAGTGACCAGGAACCCAGAGAGGACACACCCAGGCAAGCAAGGGGGCATGTCAGATCTAAGGGACGGTGGTCTTGCTTTGCCAGAGCTGGTCAGCTTCTCACTGTCCACCCCACGCAAAGGTCTCAGACCCACGTCCAGACAGGTCCTCTTGGTTTTCAGGCGCTAGAGCAGACGAAATCCTTCACAAAAGGGAGTCCAAGACTCCAAATTCCTTCCTTTGCAGAACTTCAGAATTCAGGCAGGGATCCAACTTCCTGTTGCTACTTCCCCTCTCTTTCCGCTGTTTGCAAAACTCTGATGAACTTCAAGGGCTCTCTCACCAACATGCACACAATACCCTCCCTGCCTGTCCCTCTCATCCCAGCGTCTGAAACGGCCACATCACACCCTGACCTCCGAATAAGATGCCAGGTCAGCGACTGCCCATCTTGGGCCAAACCAGAACCATCTCCGGGGCCCCCCACCCAAAGATGCAAAAGTCTCCGGCAGGTGCAGGAGGAGCTGCTTCAGCCACTGCCCCACCTGCAAATTTCCTAGTCCGAACTGGTTCCCAACAACCTTTGCATAAGCAGGGGGGAATTCAGGGGGAATTTTGTCAGGAAATGCTAAAGCACCCATTCCCACTCAACTGCTAGACTGATGAAGTTCACAGTCTTCCCTATATTACATTTTTATATATATAGATTGCACACACACACAAAAACACAAAAGCAGGAGTCTTTTCACATAGACTGCACCCGTTCCAGCCCTAGCAACCATCGACTGGATGTCTGCCAAGAGATTCACACACACAGCACGGAAACAACCTCCTCCAAAAAACTGAACAGCTCTGTGAAAGTCAAACGTGAGGCCATAGCAGGAAAAAACTCTCCCATTCGGCCCCCGCCTCCCTGTTACCTGCTCAGCTCATGGCCCCCCACCCCACCAGGTTCCTCGGGGCTTCTTGGGGGAGTTCCTCACCCCAGCCTCCCACACACCAGTAGTGCCCTCCTTCCCCTCTCCCCAAAAATGTTCCTCTGACAAAGCAACCAAGCGCTCCCCTGTCCCAAGTTCCTCCAAGAGGCTCCAGCGGCACCTGGGGTCACAGGATGAAACACCTGCAGCCACTTTTAATTTGAAACAGGTCAGGTCTCTTGCCTGTGAAGCAAGTCACTGCTATGCCCAATTCACAGATGGGGAACTGAGGCTGATGGAGTGATTGCGGCCAGAAAAGACAAAGACTTGGGTCTCTGAAGCCCAGGGTCTCTCCCTGCCATAAGCACCTGAGAAGAGCATCTACTGGATCCGGCCAAGGGCCCACCCAGTCCAACATCCTGGTCTCACAGTGACCAATGGGGTGCCCATTATGGGAATGAGCAAGTTGGCCCAAGCACAAGAGTCGCTCTCTCCCCTCCTGGGGTTTTCAGCAGCTGGGGTTCGGAAGGCCAGGAGCCCTCGATAGCCCCCTCCTCCATGAAGCTGCCCAGTTATCTTTTTAAGTCCTCTAGGTGGCTTGCCACCGCTGCCTCCTGGGGCAGGGAGTTCCGTAGGAGATGATAGGACAAGCACAGGGCAGAGTGGGGCAGTTTGGGATAAGCTGCAAGGAAATCCTGAAGCTGCTCTGGGATACAGAAGGACAGGGTCACAGTGCCTCCATCAGCCAGCATACTTCTGCCAGGCCCCCAAGTTCCCCGTATATTTATCTCCCTTTCCTCGTTTAATCCCCACCACAGCCCTGCAAGATGGGCCGGGCCGAGAGGTAGCGACCAGCCCAGTGAGCTTCCGTCCCCAAGGTCTTGACTCCATCAAGGTCACCCCGTGAGCTTCATAGCAGAGTGGGGATTCGACCCCTGCTCTCTCCCGGGCCCTCGTCCCACACTCTAAGCACGACACCAACGCTGACTCTGACGTCACAATTGCAGACCCCTCTGGCCAGGCAAAGCCCCCAAGACGCCCCCTTCTGCATCCGCACGGCTGAGGCCCTCCTTCTCTGCCGGGCAGAAGGTTAAGGGCCCACTGTGGGTGCCCCCTTCACCGCCAGCCCCACGGCTGCTGACACATGGCGCCCAGAGCACCCCCACACATCACACTCAGCCCTTTCCCGGAGAAGCATCTTCTGAAGGGTAAGCCGGGAGACAGAAAGAGAGTTGCTGACACAGAAGCAGCCAATTCCCTCTGTTAATTAGTGAGATCACTAGCTGGAAATAAGGCTCCAGCAGGTGGGGGCAGCGCTGACGGGGCTCCTCAGCCCCACTCATCATGGTGGGAGTTTCTATTGTTAGACACGCGGGGACCACGGAGGGAGGGGGCAGGCGCACAAGGCGGCCCACGGGAGGTGGGCTTGAAATGCCAGGCTGCATCGGGAGGAAGGGCATTCCCAGGCCAAGCGGCTCACCTGGCGGCAGGTAGCAGCTCTGGAACACACTGGCAGCAAGGAATGTGGAATCCGCGGCGGTGACAGTTACAAGCTGCTGTGGGAGAAGACGTTCCCTGCCCAAGTCTCGGGGGCTTGGCATGGCAGCTCGACAGGGACTTCACCCACAGGAATGAGGCTCCGGCGCACCACCAGGGGCCAGGAACAAAGGCATAGACTCAGGCTCTAAGGGGAGAGCATCTCCTTGCTCCCAGCCTGTCTGGGGTGGTGTCACCTTGCAGAATTAAATTTGGCACAACCTTTCTTGGCCAGGATTCCTGACCACCGCTGGGGATCGCCAGTCAAGCAGGGGTTGGACTGGATGACCCTTGGGGTCCCTTGCAGCTCTACACTTCTACGCCTTCTCTGGAGAGGGAGCCTCCAAGAGCTCAGCTCCACTTTGGACCACAGGGGCCTGTGGCTCACTAAGCAGCCATGCACAGGTTGCCTCTGAGCGGCCCACCTGTACAAGCAACCCCTGGGTGTTAGGTTAAAGGGCAGCGGGCAAGATCCAGGAGCTGCACCCAACACCCCCTGCAGCGCTGCAGGAGAGCCGGGGCAAAGCCCCCTTGGGCAAACCTGGATGGGGCTGGGGACAAGTACAGGGGCAGGAGGGCCGGGAAGATAGAGTCCCCTTCCTCTTTCTCATCTGAACTACAAACCACCTGGGCTTCCACTGGTGGAAAGGGGGGGCTGGAGGAGGAACCGCAGACTCAGACGGGACCCTTAAGGGCTATGTAGCCCAGCCCCTGCAATGCAGGAAGGTGGAAGGGAAGCGAGGAGAGACTCCCCCCAGCCTCAGCAGTGACCCAGCAGGGCCGATCCTGCCCGCAGCTCCCCCAGCTCGGAAGGGCATGTGGAAGGGCCCCCCCGCCGACAGGCACCACAAGAGCGGAGAGAGCTTCTCTGCGTGGGGGCTGCCTGACGTCAAGCTGCAGGGAAGACTGCCAAGCCTCATAGGTCACCGTGCGGCTCCACCATCCTCTCGGAGCAGCACCCCACACAGATTTTGGTAAAACACGACTCGGTCCCTGGATAACCCCCTCCCTCCCACCTGGAGGCAGATGCAGAGTTTCAGCAGTGCACGCCTGAGTGTGCTTCTCAGAAATCCCTGGGCAGCACAGCCCTACTCGAGCGGAAGGGGGGCAGGAGCCCATCCCCCCCCCCCAAGACGCACACAAAATCACACACACCAGCCACAGATAAATACACACACAAAAGCAAAAGGCTGACTGGAGTCAGTCTCTGCTGGAAGCCAAAGGGGAAATGCAAGGCGACCCCAGCCCAGCCCCTTTGCAAAGGGATCCGGACCCCCAAGACCACCCACTAAGCAGCCGGTCCCTCTGAAGCACAATCACTATGCATCTCCAGCCCCTCATCCTGCCCCCACCCTGGGCAATGCCAGAGCTGGGTCAGGCGGCCAGGGAGACCCTCTGATCCTCCGGCAAAGGGAGCGGTGGGGGGCAGAAGAGCGGCACAGGCTGTCCTCCTCAAGCTCCCCATCCATCGCCCTCCACAGCAGATGCCAGACGCCGCACACGAGACAAAGATGGATGCCAGCAGACAGACCACCACCCAAGCGTGGCAAAGGCAAGCAGGCAAGGCAGGGCGGCCAGCCACTTACCGAAACTTCACAAACACATTCATAGCCCAGGCGCTCATTTTTAAAGGCTCCAGCTTGATCCGGAACATGGCTTGCGGGGCCTGGAGCTCCAAGATGCAGCTGCCGCTAAAAGAGTTGCCCAGGAATGGAGGCAGCGGCACCTTCACCACAGCAGCCAGGCTCCAAAAGCAGCCCCCTCCCCAGAGCCAGGAGGAAGAGCCGGCCAAGCCGGACAGGGCACCTGGATGCACACCTGGACTCCAAGCCAGCTGTTCAGGAAGAGGGCGAAAGACTCCCCCCGACAGAGGAAATTTGGGGAGCAGCGGCAGTTCACAAGGCAGCAGCCTCCCAGAAGCTTCCCTTCCTGCGCTTTCCCGCAGCCCCCTCCCTCACCGCTTGCCACAGAAAATGCTCAATGAAATCACTCGACAGTCAGGATTCCTCCTCTAATTGGTTTCTCCGACTGAAAAGCAGACCTTACCAGCCTTCCTGCCCAGCTGGGGGGGGGGGTCTCTCGCCCTTCTGCTCATCCTCGGAGGCTGAGCAGCAGGTGCACAGCCCCACACCGGACAGCCTGTTGGCGATCTTCCCCCCTGAAGGACAGAACAGGGCAGGGAATGGGTGGCCAACTCAACCCCAGAGTCATCAGGAGTCGGCTTGGCATCTTCAATGAACCGGCGTTTGAGAGGTTTGAGAAGAAGGTGCCAAATTCTTAAGCCTAAGTGGGGAGACAGTCCGCCTCTCAAAAACCCTCTCCTCACCCCAGAATGCATACTTCAATCAAGGCTTCCACATAAGAGACAACCAGCTCAAAGCTAACGCCGTCCCTGCGAGGTCCACCAGTGTCAGAGAATGCCCAGAAAAGTGACTCTTGCTTGGCGCTGGGTGAAGTTCAGCGTCCGCAGCCCTACAGCATCCATCCCTGAAACACATGTCAAAAGCACCAGCCCCACGCTGACTCCCGAGTCTAACTAGCACCTGCGCATGCAGTCACTCCACTTCCTGAAACTCTGGCGCCCAAGTGTGCGCAAGTAAGCAGGAAACCTCACCGCTGAGGAAAGAGGCAGCTCCGGACGACCCGGGAGCCGCTCTGCTCCAAAAGCCACTCTCGGCTGCCGCTGGACGCCCATCCGAAGCCCCGGCAGCAGCAGCGGCAGCAGCCACAAGGAAGAGCCCGAGATATCCCCGTCCAGGGATCCCTCCCGGTCACACTGCCCGATCACCTGGTCCGCTTCAGAGTCCCCAACACCCAGCGGCCACCCCAGGCAGACAAAAAAAAGCAAACAACAGCCACACAATGGTCCTTCTCAAACAATCCACAGCCATCCCCTGAGATTCCAGAGAAGCCCAGACTGGACCAGAGGACCAGATGTCCCCAGAGCTGGCAGCGGCTCCTCTGCCCCCTAAACAAAGGGGCATTTCACCCACCACCGAACCAGAGGCAGGCACAGCCGCCTGGCCCCAACCCCAAAGGGATGCAGCTGGCGCCGGACCCCCGGGGAGGAGGGTGTTCTTCCACATCCCCTGCCTGAGGACGGGCAGGGAGAGCGGAGTCCCGATCCGGAGAAGAGAAAGCGGGTACCTCTCCACGCGGCTCCAGAAGAGCAGAATTGCTGGCATATCAGCGGAGGGAGTCACTCGTGGTGGTGGTGGCAGCAGCAGCAGCAGCGCTCAAAGCCCAAGTTTGGTCAAGGCGCGCAGAGTGTGCGGGAGCGAGCGAGCGAGCGAGCAAGGGCTGGAGCGCGCACAGGCACCCGCAGGCAGGCAGGCAGGCAAGGCAGGAATGCCGTGCGCTCGCTCGGGCGGGCAGAGGGACCCTTCCAGCGCCGCCAGCGACGACGACAAAGACGGCAGGGAGTCAGCGTGCAGAAATGTCATGATTACACTCCGGGTGAATCATCGCCAGCCATGCCCACCCGGTGCCCACACAGGCAGCAGCGCCAGGGGAGAGAGAGGGAGCCGGCAGCAGCGGCCGCCCCCAGACCCCTCCCCACTCCTCCGCCCCCTGACACCCCCCCCACACAGCAGGAAAGTCAACTCTCGCCCCTCCTGGCAGCTTGCAAAGGCCCTCCAGACGCCCCTGGAGAGGGGAGGCTCTGCCCCACTTCGCACCTGGGACTGGGGGGGGAGGTGCCCCGAATGGGAAGCGGAGGAGACGTCCATGGGCATCATATCAGGATGGACAGGGCAAAAGAGGAGAAGGGGGGAGTTTGGCTGGGCTCGAGGAAGGGAAGGGTCGTCCTCTCCTCCCCCTGCCCCCCCCCCGCACCCACAGCAGGAAAGTCAACTCTCGCCCCTCCTGGCAGCTGGCAAAGGCCCTCCAGACGCCCCTGGAGAGGGGAGGCTCTGCCCCACTTCGCAGCTGGGACTGGGGGGCGGGGGAGGCGTCCAGAGGCATCATGTCAGGACAGACAGGGTGGAAGAGGAGGAGGGGAGAGTTTGGCTGGGCTGGGGGGACGACATCCCCAGGGCCCCCCCAGGAGACCCCCCGATTGCCCTGCTCCAGAAAGGGGAGGGTCGTCCTCTCCTCCCCACTCCCCTCCCCCGCAGCAGGGAAGTCAACTCTCGCCCCTCCGGGCAGCGGGCAAAGGCCCACCAGACGCCCCTGGCGAGGGGGTGCTCTGCCCCACTTCGCAGCCGGGACTGGGGGGGGGGCAGGGGATGCGCCCCGAATGGGAAGCGGAGGAGACGTCCATGGGCATCATGTCAGTTTAGCTGGGCTGGGGGGAGCGACATCCCCAGCCCCCCCCCAGGAGACCCCCCCCCCAACCAGCAAGGGGAGCCCGGCCTGGGCGAAGTGGGTGGGGGGGAATTCCCTGGGGGGCTTGATCCGTCCTCCCCCCCCGGCCCAAGGAAGGGGGTCGAGTTCCAGCCCCCCCCATCTACCCACGGGGGCGTCGAGGGGCGGGGCCAGAGCCAGAGCCCCGCCCCTGCTTCTCGCCCCTCGCCCCGGGGCCGCCGCGTCCCCCTCCGCCGCCCCCTCCGAGCCAGACTCACCTCCGTCCCGTCCCGTCCCGCCCGCCTCCCTCGGCCGGGCCCTCTGGTGCGCGGGGGCCGGGCGCCCGCCCCTGCCTAGCAACGGCCCGCTCCGGCGCCGCCCTCGCGCGCCTATTGGCCCCGCCCGCTGCCCATCTCGACGAGACGCCGCTCCCTTTGGAGAACGAGGGGGAGAGGCTCCGCCCCCTCCGCTCCGCCCCGCCCCCGCTCCCTCCCTCAGGCTCGCTCCCTCTCTCTCCCGCTTCCTCGATTGGCCTCGCTGCCAGCCAGTCACGCCCATTCTCGGCTGTCATTGGTCTCTAGGAGACCGGGGCGCGGCCCCTCCGCGTGCGCCCTCGCCATTGGCCGGAGCTGCCTCGCGTGCCGGTTTTCGACCCGCCCACCCGGCCGCGGGAGGCTTCTGGAAGCCCCGTGACGTCACAATGGGGCGCGCTCCAACCAGGGAGCCTCCGGCGGGAGGCCACGCCCACCGGGCGGGCGGGGCGCCACGTGGGGCGCCGCTGCACGCGAGTAAAAGCTGCCCGGCCAGGCGGTCTCCTCGCACGAGCCTGGCCTCCGGGCGAGCTGGCGCAGGATCGTGGCCTCGCATGCCGCTTACTCGCGAGGAAGCCGCCCTGGCCCCGGCGGCCCTTGCACGGTGCATTCTTGAAGTTTGCGCCTGCAAAGGCTTCGTCCTCTCCATCCCGTGCGAGTCCCGGAACTCCTGCTGCTGAAAGTGGATCTCCGTAGGGCGTGAAGGAAATGAGCAGCTATCTTATCTTTAGAAGACATCTGAAGGCAGCCCTGTTTAGGGAAGCTTTTAATATTTAATGCTGTACTGTTTTTAACATTTGATTACGAGCCGCCCAGAGTGGCTGGGGAAACTCAGCCAGATGGGCGGGGTATAAACAATAAATTATTATTATTATTATTATTATTATTATTATTATTATATAGCAGGTTTTTTTGCTCCAAGTAGTTCCAGGCGGCGTACACGTTTCCCCACCACCACCCTCATTTAATCCCCACAACAGCCCTGCGAGGTAGTGGTGGTTGTTGTTGTTCAGTCGTGTCCGCCTCTTTGTGACCCCCTGGACCAGAGCATGCCAGGCACTCCTGTCTTCCACTGCCTCCCGCAGTTTGGTCAAACTCATGCTGGTAGCTTCGAGAACACTGTCCAACCATCTCGTCCTCTGTCGTCCCCTTCTCCTTGTGCCCTCCATCTTTCCCAACATCAGGGTCTTTTCCAGGGAGTCTTCTCTTCTCATGAGGTGGCCAAAGTCTTGGAGCCTCAGCTTCAGGATCTGTCCTTCCAGTGAACACTCAGGGCTGATTTCCTTCAGAATGGAGAGGTTGGATCTTCTTGCAGTCCATGGGACTCTCCAGAGTCTCCTCCGGCACCAGAATTCAAAAGCATCCATTCTTCGGTGATCAGCTTTCTTTATGGTCCAGCTCTCACTTCCATACATCACGACTGGGAAAACCAGAGCTTTACCTATATGGACCTTTGTTGGCAAGGTGATGTCTCTGCTTTTTAAGATGCTGTCTAGGTTTGTCATCGCCTTTCTCCCAAGGAGCAGGCGTCTTTTAATTTCGTGGCTGTTGTCACCATCTGCAGTGATCATGGAGCCCAAGAAAGTAAAATCTCTCACTGCCTCCATTTCTTCCCCTTCTATTTGCCAGGAGGTGATGGGCCCAGTGGCCATGATCTTCGTTTTTTGATGTTGAGCTTCAGACCATATTTTGCGCTCTCCTCTTTCACCCTCATTAAAAGGTTCTTTAATTCCTCCTCACTTTCTACCATCAAGGTTGTGTCATCTGCATATCTGAGGTTGTTGATATTTCTTCCGGCAATCTTAATTCCGGTTTGGGATTCATCCAGCCCAGCCTTTCACATGATGAATTCTGCATATAAGTTTAATAATCAGGGAGGCAATATACAGCCTTGTCGTACTCCTTTCCCAATTTTGAACCAATCAGTTGTTCCATATCCAGCTCGTGTCCTTAGCTGCATTTATATAGCAGGTTTTTTTGCTCCAAGGAGTTCCAGGCAGCGTACACGTTTCCGCACCACCCCCCTCATTTAATCCTCACAACAGCCCTGCGAGGTAGTGGTACACACACACAAAGGCACCCCAGTGCATTTTATGGGCAAGTGTGTGGATTTGAACCCTGGTCTCTCTCAGGACCTTTTCTGGCACTCTAACCACTATGCCACACTGGCTCTCCACTGTGACAGCGAAGCAACGGCTAAACAGAAGGATGTTCGGATGGGCCAGTGTAAAAGCCCCCCCTAAGCTGCTCCTCTGGCTTCAATGACCTGTGGCTGAATGTAGGGGAAGGAGGCACCCCAGAGAGGCCCCGGGGTTGCAGCCAAGCCATTGTGGCCGATGCCCTGGGCTGCGTCCTGATCTTGGTGCCAGCTTTGACCCTGGCAGCAGCCGCCTGTCGCACTCTTTGCCTCTTGCTCTCCCTTCCATGTAATCCAAAAGAGCTGTGCCTCTTTGAACGGGTGAGTTTAGGAGAGCCAAGGCAGCCTGCGCCACCTGCCTCTTGGGTCAGAGGAACGCCAGGATGGACCAGAAGTCATCCCTTTGTTTTTAACAATTGCACAGAATCCCACAAGCAGCATTTGAGCGCAAGAGCAGCCCTCTCCCCTCCTGCAGTTCCTAGTATTCGGAAGACGCATCACTGCCTCTGACTGTGGATGCAGTGCATAGCCATTGTGGCAAGGAGCCCCCGATAGCCCCCTGATCCTCCATGAATTTGTCTCGTCTTCTTTTAAAGCTGCCTAGGCTGGTGACCAGGGACGTGGGTGGCGCTGTGGTCTAAACCACAGAGCCTAGGACTTGCCGATCAGAAGGTCAGCGGTTCGAATCCCCGCGACGGGGTGAGCTCCCATTGCTCAGTCCCTGCTCCTGCCCACCTAGCAGTTTGAAAGCACCTCAAAGTGCAAGTAGATAAATAGGTACCACTCCGGCGGGAAGGTAAACGGTGTTTCTGTGCGCTGCTCTGGTTCACCAGAAGCGGCTTAGTCATGCTGGCCACATGACCCGGAAGCTGTACGCCGGCTCCCTCGGCCAATAAAGTGAGATGAGTGCCGCAACCCCAGAGTCGGTCACGACTGGACCTAATGGTCAGGGGTCCCTTTACCTTTACCTTAGGCTGGTGACCACTCCTGCTTCCTGCCTTTCTGCATTCTACATAGGACAAAGAAGCAACAGACACAAATCCAGAATGTTTCTGTCTCCCTGGACATCCTGCTGCCGCCTGGAAAGTTGCCTTCATGCAGCAGAGCGACTTGGAGCAAATTGGAGCTCAATTGGAGCAAATAACCAAGTGGGATTCTGTTCATTGGGGACTGAAGGAAAATAATGGCTTCCTGTCCCCCTTTAGGTGTTAATTTGCTTAGCAGCAAATACAGTTGTTCTGCCACCAATTACTGCAGGTCACTGCTTAATTTGCATAGGTCTAGCCTGTAATTGAAGGGTCACAGGCTGTACTTATTTGCTATTATGTCCCATTGTTTACCATTCTCTCACCTTCCAACTCAGAATGAGACCAACACTCCATGCATCTGGTGATGTGGACTCTAGTCATAGTAGTCTATTGTGCGGTAATAAATCTCTTCCCCTTTATTGCTACATAAACATTCAATGGAAGACGGTGCATTATTCTGCCAGGGATGAATGAAAAATGGCCCCTTTTGAAAGTCTGCCTTGACGTCGTTCCTTTCAAATCCTTATATAACAGGACAGCATAAGGACATAAAGAGGAGTGGGAAGGATTGGGCCAAATGTCCATCAACACCTGTATCCTGTTCTCACAGGGGCCAACTGATGCCTCAATGGGGAACCGACAAGTGGAAACTGGGTGCAACAGTACCCTCCTGACCTGTGGTCCCGAGCAATGCCATTCAGAGCCTGCATACTGCCTCTGACAGTGAAGCACAGCCATCCTGGCTAGCAGCTGTCAATCACCCTCCCCTCCTCCATGAATTTGTCTAATCCTCTTTTAAGGCAATCCCGGTTGGTGGCCGGCCATCCCTGCCTCTTGTGGCCACGAACTGTCTGCTGTGTTATGAAGGACCGACTTTTGTCTATCCTGAAAGTTAAGGATGCAGAGGCCGTTCAGCTCCTGGCACAAATAGGATTCAGTCCAGCTCTGCCAGAATCCACAGGAATCTGGCTTTCCTGCAGGAAGTAGCGAGTGAGTGCCTGGATCTTACCCTGGCATTTTGGCAGAGGGCAGGATGAGGCTAGCAGAACAACAGACGGGATGCCCAGCAGTCCCAAGTTTTTACACTGGGCAACGAATAGACCTGGCAGAGCCCGTCAGACCTGTGCAGCCAGGCAGAAAGAGAGTTGAAACAGAAGGGATTGCGTCATGCAGGATGCTCTGCCCATCCCAGAATATGCTCAGACATGGGCTTCTGGCGGCCTCAAGGGGAAGCAGGGCCATCCCAGGGGAGCAGCTGCTCCAGAGAGCACCTCATCTCTCTGAGGACGCCTCCTGCCTTAGAGAGAAATCCACACGATTTCTGGATCCCGTTGATGTTCATGGAGCTACTTGGAATTTGCTCATGGTTCTGCCAGCAACTCCACGACAAGGCTGGGAAAGGGTGGTGCTTGCATGTTGTGTACACATAGATGCCTGCCGTTCCGGAGATGTTTTCCTTGCCCCGTCTATGTGGTGATGAGGGTGACCATGACACAGATCATTCCCAAGTGATAAGTATTGCCTCCGCTCTGTAAACAGAGTTTTAAGAGACTTGCTCACAGCGCTTGCAGAATGACAGAATGCCTCTTCCGAGGCAACCCTTTTCTTCAGGCACTTTCATGCTATTTCAGAGCAGGCATAAACATTGCTGACATGTGACAGAAAGCAGAAATGAAGCGTGTTTTTCTTTTTAAAAAATTGAATGTACATGCTAGCCTGTATTAATGCTATGTTTATACTGCAGACACCTACAAAAATCACCTCTGTTGACAAGTGTGAAAGTGGTCTAAGCATTAGATCACCACAGCTACACTCCAGTTCCTAGTCCAGGTTCTACCCTAATTCCAACCTAAGACTGGACGGCACCCAGAACCAATAAATTCACCATTCTGAAATTTTGCCCCAGCATTCTGTGTCCAAGAGTGCCCAGCCAGACACCATGAAATGTGAAAGCACAACTCGCTCTCTGCTGCTTTTTATCCCTAGCAGAGCCTGACTGTCCCATCTACTATTCAATGCACACAGGCAGGGGCTGCTACTTGGAAGGAAGACAGAGAAATTTGTTCAGGCAGGGAATGGTACGGGCTCAGCAGCAGACACAGGGCTGGCTCTTGTCAGCAATTCTGCTGCAGCATTCTGCACCAGCCGCAGCCTTCAGCCCAAGCAGGAGGGAAGCCCCACGCAGAATGAATTGCAGTAATCCAGTCTCTCATTTTGAAGAGGATCTCGTTCTGAAGTATGGGTGCCACCACACTAAAAGCTGTGTGAGACACCCACAAGAAGAGCCTCAGTCAATCCCTTCAGTCTCCAAGCTAATAATAATAATAATAATAATAAATAATAATAATAATAATAATAAATTTTATTTATATCCCGCCCTCCCCAGCCGAAGCCGGGCTCAGGGCAGCTAACAACAATAAAATAGTACAGCATTCTAAAATCATTTCATTATAAAATTAATTAAAATCAAAATTGATGGCAACCATAAACTAAAGTTCTGTAAAGATTGCCAAAGGAGGGAGTCAGGCTGCACCCTGACCAAAGGCCTGGTGGAACAGCTCTGTCTTGCAGGCCCTGTGGAAAGATGTCAAGTCCCGCAGGGCCCTAGTCTCTTGTGACAGAGCGTTCCACCAGATCAGGGCCACAGCCGAAAAAGCCCTGGCTCTAGTTGAGGCCAGCCTAACTTCTCTGTGGCCTGGGACCTTCAAGATGTTTTTATTTGAAGACCGTAAGTTCCTCTGTGGGACATACCAGGAGAGGCGGTCCCGTAGGTACGAGGGTCCTAGGCCATATAGGGCTTTAAAGGTTAAAACCAGCACCTTAAACCTGATCCTGTACGTCACCGGGAGCCAGTGCAGCTGGTATAGCACCGGGTGAATGTGATCTCGCAGCGAGGACCCCGTAAGGAGTCTCGCTGCAGCATTCTGCACCCGCTGGAGTTTCTGGATCAGTCTCAAGGGCAGCCCCACGTAGAGCGAGTTACAATAATCCAGTCTGGAGGTGACCGTCGCGTGGATCACAGTGGCTAGGTCAGGGCGAGAGAGATAAGGAGCCAACTGCTTAGCTTGGCGGAGATGAAAAAATGCCGCCTTTGTTATAGCTGCAATCTGCGCCTCCATGGAAAGGGAGGTGTCGAAGATTACACCCAAACTCTTAACGGACGGTGCTGGCACTAACTGCGCCCCCGCAAGAGATGGGAGTTGCCCCCCCAATCCCATATCGTCCCATCCCAGCCGAAGGACCTCTGTCTTCAAAGGATTTAACTTCAACAGGCTCCCACGTAACCATCCAGCCACAGCTTCCAAACATCTGATCAGTGTGTCTGGGGCCGAGTCAGGATGGCCATCCATCAACAGATAGAGTTGGGTGTCATCAGCATACTGATCAGCTAGACAGACACCCTCTATATAATAAATGAAACTGCAAGCTCTTTGGGGCAGGGACCTGTCTTGTTTCCCCACATTGTAATGAGAGCCAGTGTGGTGTAGTGACTAGAATGAAAGACTAGGACCCAGGAAACCAGGGTTCAAATTCCCGCTGGGCCATGAAGCTCGCTGGGTGATTTGGGGCCAGTCGCTGCCTCTCAGCCTAACCTACCTCACAGGGATGTTGTGTGGATTAAATGAGGAGGGGACCAATCATGTAAGTCACCTTGCGCTCCATGGAGGGAAAAGGTGGGATATATACACATTGAATAAATAAAGTGTCATATAAGCTTAACAACAAGAACAATGCAAACACATTAACTGGCAGAATCTTCAAATTCACTTGGGCAACCAGGGCAACGTTCCCAGAGGCTTAACCCATTAGGACCCAACTGCAGGATCCTTCACAGACACAAGGGATGCAGTCTGTGGCAGGATCCCTCGGAAGAGACGCACCAGTGGCCAAACACCGCAACCCTTCCACACACAGATGGACACCCTCTGCAACAATTGCAGCCTTGCACTTGAAAATCTCCCCAAATCCCCACTGGCAAACTTTAGCTGCTTAAAAACCCCTCCAAACTCACAAGTAAGTCCTCTTCCTGCTTCTCCTTTTGTGGTGGGTCTGGCAATTCCTTGCACACTCAATTTAGTGCAGTCAGGGGGGTCCCCGTCCTCTTTTTTCAGGGGGGGTTTTGGCTGCCCCAGATCTTTCCTGGATGTGGCTCTCGCCTCCCGGTGCCCTTCTGCCACCTTCTGTGCCCAGGTACATAATCACCGCCTCTCCTCCTGCCCTGGCCCTCCCCTGTCACATGGCCTCTGGGCTCCACTTCCCAGCTGCTCTGTGGGGCCTCCCCATTGTCCAAAGGGGTGGCCCCAAGTCTCTCATTGTCACCAGGCAGGCAGGCACCCTGGAGAGGATGACACCCCTCCTTCAGGGTGACGTCGGGGAAAAGAGGCTGGCTATTTGCCACCTACAGGATGTGAGCAAGTGCCATCAAGGAATCCTCTCATCTTGCTGACATGGAGTGTTTATGGGATGGGCTCCTCTTGGAGCCGGCAAGGTAAATATTTTCCCTGGATTATCAGCTGGGATCCTTGAGTCATCTCGGTTGGAACCCGTCACTGGATCCGCCCAAGTCTCCAAAAAGGCTGCTGCACCCAGAGAAGGGGTGGCCGCATCCAGTCTCCATGGCAACCGCTTGAAGGATGCTTTGGTCCATGGTGACATGCAGTTCTGGGCTGCTCAGCCCCCTCACCCTGGACTGGAATCTATTGAGGAAGTCAATAAGGAGGGCGGCGGGTTTGAGGCCTAAATGTTCTCAATAAGGAGCAGCCCAGCAGGAGGCTCAGAGCGGTTCAGGCAAGGCTGGCTGGCTGGATTTCCATTCAGAAAGAAGGCTGGGAGTTCAGGCTGAAAGCAGACGGTTCCAAGAGCCTTCCCTGAGGAGAGGAGAAGACAGGGGTGGGCAGGGGAGACTTCCAGGGGCCAGACACAGAGGGCCACATTTAGACCCTGAGCCAGAGCTTCCCCACTTCTGCTCAGGCATTTGAGTCTTCTACTCTGCAAGCAAGTCCTGCTCTCACCTTCACAGATTGCCAGTGGCACAATTTTTCTGACACTGGCGAGAATCCTTGTTCTCTGGCTGAGGTTTCAGGTCAAGAGAAGCCTGTCTTGCTGGCTGGAGCTCTCCAGGCACACAAATGGCAGAACCACAGAGTGGTTTCCAACTCTCCACCAGCCCTTCCGCCTGCAACCACACACACCACCCCTTCCAAAAGTGGGGGGGAGACTTCCCAGCTGCAAACGTAAAGCCTGGTTCATGGAACCAATGTTTATCAAAAAAAAAAACAAAAAAACACTCCTGCACAAGAACATAAATATAGCTTGCTGGATCAGGCCATTGGCCCATCTAGTCCAGCACCCTAATCTCACAGTGGCCACCCTCTTTTAAAGTCATCCAAGGAGGCAGCCACCGTCACCACCTTTTGTTAAATCGTGGAACTCCCCACCACTGGAGGCAGCCATGGCCACCAACTTTGATGGCTTTAAAAGAGGATTGGGCAAATCCATAGAGAAGGAGAGAGCTAGCAATGGCTACTAGCAACAATGGCTTTGCTTCCATGGTCAGAGGCAGTGGTGCTTCTGAATCCCAGTCTCTGGAAACCACAGAAAGGGAGATGAATCTTGAGCTCGAATCCTGCTTGCTGCTTTCCCTTGGGGGCATCTGGTTGTCTGCTATGACAACAGCAGACCCTCCAAGGGTCCCTATTTCCCAGGGGCAGTCCCGGATTTACAGAAGCCGCCCCGGTTTCTGATTTGACCCTGGAATGTCTCGATTTTCCTTAGGGACTACCTTGGAAGGTGATCCAGAAACTGCAACTAATCCAGAATGCGGCAACTAGACTGGTGACTGGGAACAGCCACCGAGACCACATAACACCGGTCCTGAGAGATCTGCATTGGCTCCCAGTATGTTTCCGAGCACAATTCAAAGTGTTGGTGCTGACCTTGAAAGCCCTAAATGGCCTCGGCTCAATATACCTGAAGGAGCATCTCCACCCCCATCGTTCAGCCCGGACACTGAGGTCCAGCGCCGAGGGCCTTCTGGTGGTTCCCTCCCTGTGAGAAGTTACAGGGAACCAGGCAGAGGGCCTTCTCGGTGGTGGCACCCGCCCTGTGGAATGCCCCCCCATCAGATGTCAAGGAAATAAACAACTACAGTGGTACCTTGGGTTACATACGCTTCAGGTTACAGACTCCGCTAACCCAGAAATAGTACCTCGGGTTAAGAACTTTGCTTAAGGATGAGAACAAAAATCGTGCTCCAGCGGCGCAGCAGCAGGAGGAGGCCCCATTAGCTAGAGTGGTGCTTCAGGTTAAGAACAGTTTCAGGTTAAGAATGGACCTCCGGAACGAATTAAGTACCTAACCCGAGGTACAACTGTATAAAGGGACTCCCAGGGGTCTTACAGTTCTGTGATGGCCTGGGGCTCGGACTCGGAACCAGAGGAGTCTCTTCCCGGAGGAAAGGACTATCAATTTGCGGCACGAGCCACAACGGCTATGCGTTGCCCTAATGGTCAGAGGCAGCCCTGCTTCTGAATCCCAGTCGCTGGAAACCGCAGGAAGGGAGATGAATCTTGCGCTCGAATTCTGCCTGCGGGCTTCCAGTCTGGGCACCTGTTGGGCCACTGGGAGAACAGGATGCTGCCCCACGTAGCCACTGAACCGGCTCCTCTGGTGTTCCTCCGCTCAGCTACGGATTCCTTCGTCCCTCACCTCCGGTTGCTTCGCAGAATCCCCCTCCCTTTTTTTGTTTTTTGTTTCCAGGCTGCTTCCACTCTTGCCAAGCGGAGGCGGCGTTAATGAACGCTATCCCCATCTCAACCTGAGCCGATTCTCCGCCTGGCGCGCCGCGGCTGCCAGCTGGGTGGTTTCTCCCCCCCCCCCCCCCGCTTGTGTTATGCAAAAGTCATTCACCGCCTTGCCAGCCAGGCAAGTTTCCCCGGGAAGCAGCACAGCCCATTCCTTCCTCTCCCGTTGACCCCTCCAGCTTGCTCTCAATGTGCCAGCCACACCTCTCTCCTGGCGCACGGTCGCTAACTGAAAGGGCTAACGGGCACCCGGAAAGCGCCCACCAGAGGCTCCATCTCGCGCTTGCAAATGTTCCCCACGTTCCCTTGAAACGCTTCCCCCTTTCTTCCCTCCCTGGGGGGCTCCCGTTTCCTTCCATCCCGGCGAAAAACAGGATGCCGCCGCCAGAGGCGTAACGTGCGCGCCCTGACCCGACCAGCTGCTTCTGCGCTGAGTAATGCCTGAGCAGGGCTGCTTTCCCCAGGCTGGGTGAGGCCTGCTAGTTAATGAGAGCAATTGGAGGTAATTGGGCTGGAAGAGCCTCCAAATGGGGCAGGGCAGCCGCAGACACGTGTCGTTTTGAGGAGGAGCGGGGAACGTGAGCCTGGGAAAAGTCATAGGAAAAGTCGCGTTCAGAAGGACTTTCTGGGGAACAAACGACCTCGGAAGATGGTGGACTCTCCTTCTTGGGAGGTTTTCAAACACAGGTTGGATAGCCACTGTCATGGATGCTTTAGCTGAGATTCCTGCATTGCAGGGGGTTAGGCTGGATGGCCTTTGGTGGTCCCTTCCAATTCTACAGTTCTGTGGCCTCAGAGGGTGCTAGCCTCTCCTTCAATGGAGGTTTTAAAGTAGAGGTTGGGTGCCCATCCATCAGGGATTCTTAAGCTGCAGTTCTTACATTGCAGGGCGTTGGACTCGATAACCCATTGGTGTCTCTTCCAACTTTTATTATTGTAAGTTGTGGGATGAGAACTGCAACTTAGGACTAGGTGCATTTGAAGCTGTGGCTTACATTGCACACACTCTCAGCTGTAGATTCAGGTAGGTAGCCGTGTCGGTCTGACGCAGTCAAAATAAATTAAAAAATTGTTCAGTAGCACCTTAGAGACCAACTAAGTTTGTTCTAGGTATAAGCTTTCGTGGTATGTGAAGAAGTGTGCATGCACACAAAAGCTTATACCCAGAACAAACTTAGTTGGACTCTAAGGTGCTACTGGACAATTTTATATATATATTGACGACTGTTAATGACTGCAATTAGTCCTACAGGAAAAAGCAAGGGATAGAATGCAGATGGTTAGCATATGTAATGAGATATCTTATTACATATTTCATACATTATTTCCTTGACATCTGAAGGGAGGGCGTTCCACAGGGAGGGTGCCACTACCGAAAAGGCCCTCTGCCACTAGAGTCTCATTGGCATTTTGTAATATCTGCATTCATTCACAAATACGGAGGCCTCAGGGGAGGGAGCTTAAGGGGAAGGAACCCGGAGACCCTCCAAAAGTTCTCAGACTCTCAGCAGCCGGCATGGCCAATGGTCAGGAATGGTGGCGGTCCAAGAGCCACCCCCCCTTCTTTCCTGCCTGTCTCTCCTTCACACAGGGACAGTGAGATGATAGCATCCTAAACCTGAACCTTCTCTGATTACTTTCTCTTGTTCAGAACATTCTGGGAAATTTCCCCTATCAAGAAGCAATTGTCTGACCATTTACAGTAGTTCCCATGGCAACACATCACCCATAGTTTGCTTAAGAAAAAAACGGTGTGCCTGGTCAACAGGCTGCTTGACCAGCCTGAAGGAGTCCTTGTGGCCATGAATTCTCCTCTTCTGCAACTCCTGATCTTAAAAGAAAGCCTTTCTTCACACAGCAGGGAGTTAAACTATGGAACTCACTCCTGCAGGGAGCAGTTATGGCCACCAGCTTGGATCTCTTTAAAGGACAATTGGAACAGTCTCCCTGGAAGCCTGTGGACTCCCCCTTCTTGGAGGTTTTTAAGGAGAGGATGCCTGACCATCTGTCATGGATGCAATAGCTGAAACCCCTGCCTTGCAGGGGTTAGGCTAGATGACCCCCCGGGGTCCCTTCCAACTCTAAGATTTGATGATTCCAATTAGACAAATAAATGGAGGAGAGTGTTATTGATGGCTACTAGGCACAGTAGCTATGCTCTGCCTCTGCAGTTGGAGGCATCAATGCTTTTGAATATCAGCTGCCAGAAACCACAGGAGGGGAGATTGGTCTTGAGTTCGAATCCTGTTTGCTGGTTTCCCACAGGCAGCTGTTCAGCCACTGTGAGAATACAATGCTGGACTAGATAGGACATTGGTCTGATCCTTTTTTATATATTTACATTTTTATTGGTTTTTTTTACATATCATTTCCAACAATCATTTAACATAACTTCTTATCTTATACAATATTTTGGATTTCCATCAA